TCATCCTTGATAAGAACCTTTAAGCAAGTACTGTTCCTAAGCGCAACATGAAACAAAATACAGGTAGATGTGAAAAATAAAGCTGTAGATATGGTTCAAGAAGCTTAGGAGAAGTTACTATTACAGTAATTGTTCTTGTCCTTAAGTTTAATGGTAATATTCTGTAGCATTTGAAAGATAGCCTGGGTCTCAAAGGTGGGCATGAATAGACCAAGGCAGATGTTTTTGACAAAAGTTTTCAAATGCGTAGGCTATGTTTCGAGCCCTCATTCAATTCATATTGATCGCCTCCTGTTCTACAACGTAGTGCTCAGTGTCATAGGCTAGGGCAGTACTTTGCACTGCCTTGGCTCCAAACATGACAGTCAGGAGACATTTCCTGACATGTCTGAGGTAATTACAGAAGGGCGACTTTTCCTGCACCACAGAAACATGGTGTTCTGTTACCTGAGTTTCCTCTTTGTAGAAAACTTCTTCAAACTTCACTGAAAAGACAGTACTTTCTGGCAGATAAGTAATTTGTATATCAAGTGGTGTTTCTTATGGCAGAAAGACTATCACATCATCTCAAGAGTTATTTAACACCTCTTGGGAAAAATCTCTAATAGGATTTAATACTAGACATATTACAGAATTTAGCTTTCAGAAATATAGATAATAAATATAACAATCCAAACACTCCAATCATCACTGTGCATAAACAGTCCATACACCATCACTGTACCTTGAAACATTCATCAGATCATAGACCCTTTGACTCTCTCATTTCACTCAGAAAATCTTTACATCAGCAAATATATTCAGCATGCATGTCCTTAAGCAATCTGACTAACCAAAAGGCTTATTCCATTAGGAATCTATACTGAAAGCCTGTAACAAATCACTGCAACTGACCTTTTCGTAAGCTGTTGTTTTACTTTTCTACTAACAAGGAAGCATACTGTTATAGTTTTATTACATTTTACTTTCTTCTTTTCAAAGTGTTGCAATATTCTCCACGGATTACACTGGTAAATTTTTCAGATGAAAAAAATCAGTCCTGGAATATTTTAATGTCACCATAAAACAAGACAGAAATTAACCTTAAAAATTTTCCAATGTTCCACAAATATATTATCTGTGGAAGGTCCAATTTAAAACTGAGACATTTAGTTATCTCTACAACTTCCACAGGTTTGTTTTTCATTCTGCTTTACAACATAGCCATTAAAAGAACAGACAGGTAGGTAGCGACCATAAAACAGTTCTCAAACTAACAAAAGCCTGCTTTGCCTTCAAATCCTCACGTTGTTTCCCTCAGATACGCATGAAGTAATCTGAGTTAAAAAGCTGATCAAGTAAATGATCGGCTATACTTAACTAATGTATAAGAATGGCTGGGTTACTGCATTTATAATCAAAAAGAAATTCTACTGAACACTTATGAGTAATGTGCAATGTAACAGACCCATACAGCAATTCTGCACGGGAAATTTGTCTTAGATGTATGAATCTGTTTACAATCACCTTCTTATTTCACCATTTTCCCTTTTTATAGTGACTCTTTTGTACATCTGTGAAGGAGCATACCACTGGTCTAACTGTCCCAGCTTTTCATCAAATTATTGAATTCCTATGAATCACGAACCCTCTTAGCAAGCAGATCTTTGGTGTCGTTAGCTAAATCGCTGGCAATCCAAATGTCAGCCGTAATTAGGCTGGATAAAGCACAAGGACCTTCCCTTGGAAAAATAACGTCCTAATAAACTGTTTGCCAACATGCCCCAGATTGTAAAACTGAAGAGATGGGTACAGATCAGCGTACGTTAGATTTTTAATTTTGATTTTCGAGGGATATTAGTGCAATCGCTTTTTAAAAGAGAAATCCATCCTTTTTTTCCTCTTCAAAATAAGAACTATGTTGACACAGTGTTGTTTGAATACAATGGTGTAGGAGAACAAACGAGCCCAATAGAATCAAGGTGGGACAGGCATACTACCAGAGAAACTCGGGTTGCTGGGTTGTGGAGGGAGTTGTTTGTTAGGGACTGCAGTTTATTGACTTGGTTCTATTATTATTAACTTTTAAATACTTGTCTCACTTCAATTTATGGGAAGGAGAGCAGGTTCTTTTAATCACAGAATCACCAAGGTTGGAAAAGACCTAAAAGCTCATCCAGTCCAACCGATCACCTATTCCCAATAGCTCCTACTAAACCATGTCCCTCAACACAACATCCAGCCTTTCCTTGAACACCCCCAGGCTCGGTGACTCCACCACCTCCCTGGGCATCCATTCCAGTGCCTGACCACCCTTTCTGAAAAGTAATACTTCTGATGTCCAGCATGAATCTCCCCTGCCGCAGCTTGAAATATACGTATACCTGACTTCAGATTAAGAAACAACAGTTAAAATGTTGTTACCAACCAGGTACCTTTTTCTATCCTTCTTCTGCCAGCATGGCTTTTCTGGGCACTTTGGTAAGAGTCATATGCAATATCCAGGCAGCACTTCTGAGATGGCCATCTCCCTCGAGGTGAACCCACACAAAAGGCACAAAGGCAACAAAAGAAGTGTAAGGAAAAAAAGAAGCAGAACAGAGATGTTTCGAACATGCAGAAAGGAGTCAGGATGAAAAAAATTAATTTCACTAATAAAAGGATAATGGCTGAGTTTCCAATACGAAATTAAGTTGAATTCCCACTTAGTAATGCAAATTCAGCTTGGATTCCTTTGGAATGAGTTATAAGCGCCTGAAAAACACAGCCAACAGATACACAGAAACACGTCATTCATAGCCTGAGCTCATTTCTAACTGATTAAGCACGCTCAGAACAGTGCAAAAGTGAAAGTCTCTTTGTCCTGATCTGCACAGATGAAGTGCCCAGCTTCTCAGTCTTCTCAGTGTGATCTGCTGACACCTGATGGATTCTCTCTCTATGAGAATGAGGATTTGTATATGAGAAAAGCTAGGATGAGGGAAACCTGAGTGTGACTCCACACACTCTCTCCTCCTCTAAACTCTGTGAAAGCAGGAGCAGTGTTGGATCAGCTGCAAGCAGCTTCAAGCCAAGCTAAGAAAGTCACTGCACTTGCAGCCTGTTCTGTCTGCAGCACAAAACCTGCCTTCAGGGAGGATTCTGAAGGGCTGTAGAAGCCCAGCAAGAGTTAAGGCTTTTCTTCAGGAAGGCACTTGAGCACATACCAACTCCCATGGAATTCAGCACAATCTTGTGCTGGGCCTTTTAACGATCCTCAGAATTAAGAATGTGACCGAAGAACATCACTGCAGCAAGGCCTTGATTTTTGTGAATCATCCTACCTACATTCAAGAAACGCCTACAATCCCTAAAATATACTTACTCTGAATATTAAAGGATTTCTTAGTACCAGATGAAAAAGGAAATGGGCATGAATTATTTATTTCAAATATTAAAGATTCATAAACCACTGGAGCAACCCAACTAGGCAGTAAAAATTCTCTATGTAAATAATTTACATTTCAGAAATCGTTACAAAACGCATGATGACTTGTATGTGTGAAACCTGGTAGGGGGTCATTGTTAGGATGGCATAACTGACAGCTATTACCTACACAGGGAAAACAGCTATTTAACAACTTTCATATGCTCACAATCTTGAAAACGTTCAAGTATGAATATTCCCATAACCAAAAATACCTCTGGTTTTCTTTACATATCTGTCTGCATACACATACAAGTGCACACTTGTATCTATATAAAAACACATGAATAACTATACTGGGAGGTCACTTGGCCTATTAGAATATTCTGACGTGATTGATACTCTGAATCATTATTAATATTGTCCTCCTTGCTACAAGGCTCTCTCAGATACTGAACCTCTTGCCTGTCATTTTCTTTCATTTCCAAAACATGTCTGACTAGAATCCCCTTGGGACATACTTTTGAACTTCCTCCATAAATGTGGAAATAACTTCAAAGTTCTGTTAGTAATTTATGTATAGCATTATGGACCGGGGTCAGTTGGCAACTGAATTTCCATGGCAAGCGTAAGATGAGCTGATGGAAAGGACAGTTTAATATAAAATGCCTCCGTGCCCAAAAGTTCACACCGAGGCAGGTGTGCACGCCTTGTTCACGCAGGCAGTCCTCTTTGAAATCAGAGCTCTCAATGCCTTGCGGTTTTTATAGTCATTCACACCAAGGTGGATAAATGTTAAAGATGCCAGACCTCTAACCCAGCAGCAATTTATCCCACGCACTCACTGAACCTCTAATCAGACACGGCTGAGATGAGACAGCAGTGCAAAAGCAGCCCCAAAGCTAAGTTTGCCAGATGCCTGTGAGGCACACCTACTGACGCATACTCTCCGTGTCTACATCTGGGCTGATGTAACAACCGATCCATCACAAGAAGTGCCTTGCATAGTGGGGTGTGTATATCCATATGACATGGATTTGCCCCCTGCAAGTCCAGCCTGTCCACTCACTCTCTTGCAGCCAAATTGCATGACAGACTACTGAGAAAACAAGACAGAAAGGTTTCTGTAGCAAAAGGCCCCATTGCTGTCTGAGCGAAGTACAGATTCGGACCCACTGGCATGGTGAATTGAGGCTACCCACAACGAGGATGCAACCTGGTCTCTGTAATACTCTGCTGGTCCCTCCTGGAACCAACCATCACATGTATAAAGAGCAGCATTAGGATTTTGTTACATCTTTAGATTTTGTACGTTAAGCCCTAAAAACAGCCTTTTCATAAGGCATGTTTGTGGATTAAACTTGATTCAATGTATCCTAGCTGTCTCTAACTCCTATAGTGATCAAAATGTAATTAGGAGTAGTTAGTTTCCCCTGCAATATTCTCCAAAAATATTTTTGAGCTGTACAAAAATGTTTTAATTACATTCCCAAACCTATACTATGTATCTGAATTGGCTTGACAGAGCTGAAAGTTATGTCACCTATTATGAAGTGTTAAATAAATTATTCAAAGAAAGCACTTTCAAAATTTTAACCTCTTTCTTCTTTCCTACCTTCTGTTTCCAAGTATTCCTCTCACCAGCATTTTTCCTCCTTTGTGACTGCTGAAAACCTAGGCAAAAAAAAAAGACAAAATCATACACCTATTCTGTACTAGTACAAAAAATGGGTTATCAATCATATATAAGATGTGTGCTCACGAATAAGAGTTGTGTATACCTTTATACATTGGCCCACACAAGTCCATCAATGGGCTAAGTACAACGAAGGATACTACAAATGTGAGCAGAGGAGTACACACATAGAGTGTGGCAGCTGTTCAAAAACTCGACACAAAAGGCTTCTTCTTGTAAGCAGTGATTTTCTTGAATAATCAAGATGATCATCGATGATTCTCTAATGATAATAGTACTTTAAAGGTAAAAATCTAAACAGTGATTGTTGTATAGAATTTAAAGATTTAAAATTGGAATTAATGCTCTGTGGCATGACAGGCAGATATTCATCACGAGATTCTCACAACAGCATGAGAGACTTCCATGCCACAAAACAAGCCATAGAAATGCTAACATGCAAAAAAACCCTAGAGAGAGGGTTATTAAAACTCGTCCAGAAATGTCATGTCTTCTGTATGCTTAAGTCCTATCCTCTTATATTAATGATGTTCTCTCTGATCTGCATTGCTTCTAACTGGGAGTGTCTCCAGCTTATCATTCCAGAGATACAGAATGCAAACAACAATTAAAAAACAGCTGCTGTTTAGCATTTGCCATAAAACTTCAAGATTCCTAGTAGATGTTCTTTAGAAAAAGTTAATTAGTAATTTAGAGCAGAAAAGAGCTCATCACAATTTCTGTCCTCAGTGGCACCTGGGGAGCTCTCCTTTGATTAGAATACTTGCAACGAGGGCTTCCTTTGTATCTTTCATAATGGAGTTTACATTAGAGAAGCACTTTTTAAAAATGCTACAGAACTCAGAGCACCAATAGACAGTGCTGTTGTATCTCATCTTTATCTCCAATGACACAGATAAAGTATGCTGCTGCATAAGTCAGTGAAGGGAGAGGATAATCCCTAGCAGAGAGGTTGTTAGGCAGATCAAGGATGAAAGGATGTCTAAACACTGGGCTCACCTATGTAATTAATTGTGCTGAACCACCAGTACAGTCCCTCTAGCCTAGGATATTGATCTGTAGGAGACAAACTATACACTGCCTAACAATTGCCCAGAGATTATTTCAGCTGGGCATCCAGAGGAGGTGAAAAGCACAGTGAATATACAATAAATATATCCAGTCACTGTAGGGAACAGCCCTGACTGGTGCCACCAGACCTGAAGTGTTTCAGAGTGCAAAGGCTAGGTCAGGGGCAATGGACTGCCACTAGTTTTCAGATAAGATGCACTCACGATCTCCCACGTAATCCTCACACTTTATCAAGAGAAACCAGAGAGTAAAACTCTCTGATTACACACTGTTACTTCAGCAACATAATTTAGCAAAGCACCTACAGGCAACCATATAGGCTCTGTATTAAGTGAGCAAACAAGATTTGTAGATGAAAGATACTAGGCATGCCATGCTCCAGTTCGGAGGCTGATAGAAAACAATACTGTGTACAAATATTAATACATCAACAATACATTAATCACTTTAAAGGGCTGTTCCATACCTGTTACAGACTACAGATCAGATAAAATACTGGTATGCTTATAGCCAGAAATGCTCCTCTAACGTTTTTTTTTCCTGCATTAAACAGAAGAATTATTTAAATATGTGCAAACATGACATAATCATACCTAGTATGATTTAAAGCTGTGACAGTATACCAACATGTTCATAATATCTTTAAAAGCATCTCAAGCTACTCCTGACTTCAAGATACTTAACATCATTACAGTTATCACATCAAACTATTCTTCACTACAAGCTGTGCTCTAAATCTTCTTCACAATTTCCTGTTGCACCTTCATAAAGATGAAAGATAGCAACGCAGAATAACAACGAGAGACCTTCAGCAAAGTTGAGATTGCCCTGTCCCTAAGAAGAACGTGTGTAGAAGAGGCTCATCAATGTTCTGGTTGCCCTTCCCAGTTGTGCTGGACACAGTAAGGATAACTCTGCCAGGGCCAAAGAATCACAGAATGGTTTGAGTTGGAAGGGACTTAGAGGACCAGCTCCACTTCCACCACCTCTCTCTCAAAATCTGGGCTGCCTAGCTCCCCATTTAGTACCAGACCAGGCTGCCCAGCACTCCATCCAACCTGGCCTTGAACACCTTCAGGGATGGACGGGGCATCCACAGCCTCTCTGGGCAGCTGTTCCAGCACCTCACCACTCTCTCTGTAAAGAACTTCCCCCTGACATCCAACCTAAATCTGCCCTCCCTCAACTTTAAACCATTTCTTCTTGTCCTGCTACTATCTATTCTTTCCAAGTGTTGGCTCCCATCCTGTTTACAGGCTACCTTTAGGTACTGAAAGGCTGCAATGAGGTCACAGCCTTCTCTTCTCCACACTGAACAAGCCCAGCTCTCTCAGCCTGTCTTCGTATGGGAGGTGCTCCAGTCCCCTGACCATCTTTGTGGCTCTCCTCTGGACCCTCTCCTACAGCTCCATATCTTTTTTGTACTGGGGGCTCCACACCTCCACAGTACTCCAGATGGGGCCTCACAAGAGCAGAGTAGAGGGGGACGATCACCTCCCTGTCCCTTCTGGCCACCCCTCTTTTGATAGAGCCCAGAATATCATTTGCTTCCCAAGCTGCAAGAATACACTGCTAGCTCGTGTTAAGTTCTTCATCTATCAGGACCCTCAAGGTCCTTCCCTGCAGGGCTGCTCGCAAGGACCACTCCTCCCAGTCTGTATGGATGCTTGAGATTCCTCTGGTCCAAGTGCCAAACCTTGTGCTTTTCTGTGTTGAACCTCATCAGGTCTACCCAGGCCCACCTTTCAAGCCTGCTGAGGTCCCTCTGAATGGCATCCCTTCTTTCCACTGTGTCAACTGCACTGCCCAGCTTGGTGTTATCAGCAAACTTGCTGAGGGTGCACTCAATTCCATCATTGATGTCACTGATAAAAATGTTGAAGAGCACCAGTCCCAAGACAGACCCCTGGGGGATGCCGCCCGTTACTGGCCTCCACCTGGACATAGAGCCATTAATCACCATGCTGTGTTTGAGGCCTTACAACCAATTCCTTATCCATCAGATGGTCCACCCATCAAATCCCCATCCCTCCAATTTGGAGATAAGGATGTGGGACCACGTCGAAGGTCTTGCTCAAGTCCAGGTAAATGACATTGGTCACCCTCCCTTTGTCCACCAGAAGAAACAGTTGTGCTTGTCCACAAATGCCTTACCTCACCTCCGTGGTCTTCTCTGCCTCCATCATCTTCTGTTTCTCTTAGGGTGGCATTTAAGCTAGCTTGTTTTCTTCATTTTAGGTAAGACAACAGAGGTTTACTTTCCAGGCTTGTCTTCTTTTGAGGTGTGCAATGTTCTTCTGAACTCATTGCACGTTTTTTTCTTTCTGCTTAACCCTCACATGAGGCTGCAATAGAGAATAATGAACTGAGTTCACATGCAATTATAGAATAGCTTTAGTGCAATGCAGAGTGTGCTTCTGTCCCATAAGATGTGTTAAAGCAAACTGCATGCTTTTTTTCCTTTATTTTTATTCCTTACACAAATTATTCTGAATCAGTAGTTTGCTACTGAATGTTGGGAGAATGGAAGAATGTTGGTCTTGCAAATAAATTCATCCTTCACCTCATTTAAAAGAATAAGGAATATCTAGTGAACTTTTAATTTATTAGCTGTGAACAAGTAGGAATATAACTCAAAAAGAGTCATATAAATAACAACATTGTTCTTTTATTTCTTTATATAGCACTACCTCTGTCTGTCTGTGCTTTAATTCGCAAGGATATAATGGGGTAAATACAAAAACTGTCTGCCAGCTCTTCAGAAAAATAACTGATATGAAATTATAATTAAAGAGTTAATAATATCTGACCATATGATCTTCAAGGCATAATGAACTATGGATGTTTTCTTCTGTTTAGAGCCTGAAGCTCCAGCCTATGTGAAACCTTTTAAATGCTTAATTAGCAACAATCAGGCACCAATACAGCTCGATCTAATTGAGGGGATGGGACAACTCTCCAGTTTGGCAGTCATTCCTGAAGTAGGAGAAAGTGCTTCTCTAATTTTCAGCAATTCGTCTTTATTTTCTTGTATCAGAACTTTAGTTTTCTTTTAAAAAGTTTCGTTACGGGAAATTGAACAAATGAAGTTTTATCAGCTGCATAAAATAACAGTTCCATACCCTGAGGAACTGGGAATGAAAAACTGGTAAATTTCCTGTATGAAATCATGTCATAGAAAGCACTTTATACATTTCTCATAACATAATGCTTTGAAAGTGTTTCTCTGTCACAGCACAGTGCTGTTTTGTGAGACTTAACTCCAGAAGGCTAAGAAGAATCACGTTAACATACTTCAGATATGTGTGAACATGGACTTTAGGCAAACAAACTTGCCATGTTTTCCATCATCTCAGATTTAGATTGCTATCTAACATCTCTCTTTATTATTTTCCTTATTTTCCTTGTGAAGGAAATCAAAAGGCAAATTACAAGATACTGTGTTTTCAGCTGACTATCTTCTGCTCTTTGTACATGCGTTATGCATTAAAGGCTGGATGTTGTGTTGAGGGACATGGTTTAGTAGGAGCTGTTGGGAATAGGTGAGCGGTTGGACTGGGTGATCTTTTAGGTCTTTTCCAACCTTGGTGATTCTATGATTCTATGCTATTTTCACTGTTGGAGAAAGTAGTAGGAAACCTAGTTTTTAGTGTAGTGTATCCACATTATGAAGAAAACTCACCACTACTTCATCTTGATGAGGTTTAACCTCTTTGTTTCTCACAGCTACTGGATATGAAGGTTGATACTGGTAGAACAAGCTGAACAAAAACATGCATCCATGCATCTTCAGATAGAAATAGTCACCACAGAAGCAACTTGGTGAGTGCTACAGTGATTAAAAAAAAAACTACCAACAAGACCAGCATTAATCTGGAAAATCTTACTAACATCCCTTTTCCGTTCACAAAGCCCCCTAAAAATTTAACAGCTGAGAAGTATTTTAGTAAATGGGGGCCAAAGCAATTGCAGATTTCTTGCAAAACAAAGTTTAAAACAGGTGGTTTAATGAGAATATAAAGTAAGCGGTTTATGATTCAGAAACTTCATATAATTCTGCCCAGAAATTCAAACACTTTCATTTAGACTTTTGTACCAGCCACCAGTTCTAGAGAATGTTTTATGATATCTCATAAATTCTTCTCTTCACTGAAAAGCATTTAAAACACACTAAACGTGCTTCAAGAGAATGTCTTAATTTAACCGGCCATTTAAAAAAATTATGGCAGCAATGCCAATTGTGAAATTTCCAATGATTAAGAAAGTTTTACAGGGGCATAACTAGTGAAAAATGCAAGCATACAGGGTCTACTCCTAAGTGCTGTCAGGACTGACAGTCCTTTAAAAACTCCAGGTTAACTGAAGGACCATTTTTCATACAGACTACTATATTCTAGTCAAAGCCTCACTCAATGCCCTTTCACACATACAGTTGTCAGACTGTTGGACTTCTACTCTGATAAAAAAATCCTTTCTCTAATCTGACTTTTTTTCACTTTCATTTCTTAGGGAGAGCGTGGATATATTTTGAATCTGAATTATGGAAGAATTTTAGTAAAATTTCCCCCATCTGAATGAAAAAATCTGAATGAACCATAACTATTCCACAGTGTAATTCTTTCAAGCAGTTAAATGACAAGCTTTTTCTCTGTTCTTGTTTAAAATAAAAATCAGCCATGAAACAGTCCAGAAGTACTTAATGGTGGACTCCAGCCTAATGGTTGAAAAACAACCTAATAGTTTGGAAAACATAGTAGATAGCATATAGTTTATATCATGAAATGTCTGGATTATCAATAATCAATGCACAAAAATATTTCTAGTAAGTGTCTCTAGCAAAATGGATAATCCTATTCTAAAATACTGTTTGCCTCACTTCATTTTCTGTCACGTGTACAATGCACTCCATACCTGCTTGTATTTCATTATGTCGTTTTCAGAGTTTGCTGCTGTATGTTGATATGTGATTGAAGTACTGCAAAATAGCAGGCTGTAAGGTAAATCACATCAATATCAAATAACAAGTAAGACATTACAAAACATTTATTGCCTCGTTATACACTGTGACAGCCCAGAGAAGAGCATCCAGCATCAATGACTGCCCTGCTTACTTCTGAGCATGCCTCTAGCAAATTCCAATTAACATTTGTTTCTTCAGTAGCCAAATGTTAATTACTTCTCAGCCACCTGTGAAACTTTTGTTGTTGTTTTTACTTTTTTAATGCATCATATTAGAATTACATTAAAGCAGGGTGTACTAGCACTTTGAGTCACAATGCCCATGTTGAGGGTGTGTGTTTTCTAGCAGCATCTAATGACCACCTTTCCCCCACCAAAAAAGCTCTCAGAAATACGATCGCGTTTCACTTTACCTAAGTAAAAAATGTAGAAAGATGCTCAGCCCAGTTTCTGAATCTCACCTGGCCCATCACAAACCAATCCTCTAAAATGAGGAAACCTTCTAGTGGTACTGTCATTTACCTTGCTTCACGAACTCAGCAGTCCAAATCCTTTTGTCACCAACTGCCCCAGCTCTTGGCTCTGAAGGACACACATAACTGAGGAGTTTAGATGAGTGAACCAGCACCTATCCCATATTTATACAGGGTTACACTGCCACCTCTTGTCATGCAAGGAAGGAGAAACTGGGGCATCCTGGTTTCTGCGGCTGCCTGCCTCTGGCACAACACTCCTGAGCGCAGGGAGCAGCATGGCTGCAGGAATCCTGCTATATGGTTATCACAGACAGGAGGAATTCTCAAGTCAACTTGCAAGTTGATTTAAAAAAAGAAAAAAAAAAGAAAAAAAAAGGAAGGTATTTACTTTCATCAGCTCTTCGAAGGGTTTGAATTCCCATAAAAAATTTGTGAAGAACAAACTGAGAGTGAACATAAGCAAAGATACTGTTTGCTGAGTAAAAACACAATCTTTGAATTAGCTCAAAATGGCCATGACCTTCATTTCATCTTTGAACTCTTGGTTCAGTTTCCATAACTCTGAAGTGAGATAATACAATTTTCTCCTAATTTACTTATTTAGGGCCAGCATCTGACTTACGTCAGTGTTCATGTAGGAAGTTAAGTAGTAATAACAACTTGCTTTTCAGTACATCTTAAATGTAAAAATTACTGGCAGTGTTGCAAACATGCACAATTTTGCAAGGATAGCAGCTCCCCCAGCAAGAAAACAAAAAAAAAAATCATGGTTGTTACAGATATGTGTTAGTCATCATTACCTTGAAGCTACATGGAAACGAGGAGAGCTCTGGCTTTATGCAACACGGCTCCCTTCCATGGAAATGCATACTGTCACTGAGGCTTTGGCTTAAACTTCTATTAATTTACCAAGATGGCAACGTTCTGTAATAGTCACAAAGATAAAGAGAAGAATAAAAATAAGCATTTTCAGAAAGATGAACTCTATACTATCCATCTTTGTAGTTTTACATTGTTGCACCTAGTTTTTTCAGCAAAGTTTTATAAGATCCCTCTGACTTCTTTCTATCATGCCTACAGTGCAGGATAAAAGAATGATGTTTATCTCGCTGGAATAGTGCTTGACCATTGTTGGGTTTTGTTCTTTGGTTTTGCTTTTTTTCTTTTTAAGCTAAGTGAAAGAGTAGAAGGAAATCACGGATAGGCAACAGAAGGAAAAGCTAAGTACCTCACCTGTACACCCCAAGATGTAGGCTATTCGTGCCTGCAGGCAACAGAACTGTTTTTGTCCTTTCTGGGAGGGTTCATCTCACAGATGCATTCAGAGAACAAAGACCAAACAGCCAAAAATGTGTTTCTATCATTGTCTGGTTAGAGGCAACAAACAATACAACAGCCAATATCAGAAGCCAAGTACTTATCAAAAACAATGAACAACATAGTAAATAAAGGAGTTCCTGAAGAGAGAGAACTGTGTCCAGATGCACAAAACCACACACAAATGGTGTGCTGTCTCCAGAGTTTTGCTGGAATTTGTATATAAAGAATAAATAAACCCAAGTTTTGTCGCACTTGAGCAAGAACAATTGTAAAAATGGGATGGGAAATTAAGAGAATGAAAGAAAGAACAGATTATTCAGTAATCAAAACTTCTTTTCAGCTCATCTGTCTCACATCTTTTGTTTCCTTTTTATTTTCCAGCTCAGATATTGTGCAAGTTGCTCAAAAGAGCAGGCAAGAATTGCTTAGACAGACAGCATGGCAACCTATATTCTTCAGCACAGATGCACAGAGCTATAATCATACCAGGCTTAAATTTAATCTAAGGCCATTTCAGAGGATAAGAAACCTAAGGAAGGGTGAAATGAAAATCTTTTAGTTCACTCAGTTTGTGTTACACCCAGAGCAGTGAGTAGTCTTACATAGGGCCAGACAACACACAAAGCTCACCCATCTGGAATATGGCTGAGAGACCTCTTGGTCCATCACTGACTGACAAACTTGATGCGCTTAATTTTACTTCTGCTGATTGCCTCCGCATTGGATCTCACCTTTCTTCAGCCCCTTCCCTCTTCAGATGAGCTGCAACAGTTACAAAGAAGCATCCTTTTTATCCTGCTGCTATCAAAAGAATCAATGTAGCTGGCCAATCTAGCCTATGCTGTTACCACAGAAGACAATTTTTTCTCAAAATATCTTCAAGGTCAACTTGTATGAGAACTGGTAAATGAATTTCAAATGAATCTCTAAGAAACCAACACCTTCATTTCTCCTTGCCAACAGAAGGGAAGCAATGAGTTTCAATGAATCAATACCTCTGAGGTCAAAATTCATTAGTTTTAGTGATAACTCAAACACCAATATACCATAAAGCTCTGCTGCTTACCCATGGCTGCAATAAGAGAGAGAAACAGTCATATTATGAATCTACAATACAGTTTTTTGAATATTTCACTGCTGAAAATAAAGGACTACTACAAAAGATGTACAAATTATATGTATATGGAGCTCTGATGTCTGATACTGCACAGATTGCTGAGTTGTTTTCAAGAGGAAAGCTGTTAAAAAAAAACACCAACATGGAGTGCAGGAATGAACTGAAAAAAAGATTAAGTATTTCTGGACAATTCTATGGTAGGAATTCTTAGTCACTGTTTATGGATAGATATTCAATTAAAAGTGTTTCGTGCTCACAATAAACATTTACTGTTTTCACAACAAAGGTCAACTCACTGATAAAAAAAAATAAATCCTATTCTTTGTAGGAAACTTTTCAGTAGAACAATCCTATCCAGTACCCATTTGATGTTTTCTCCATTTGTTCAGAGTAGAAATTTTGTGTTACAACAATTAAACCTCAACTGTTAATTCTCTCCTTGAGGATGCATTTATTCCTATGCATTTCAAAGACATTCTCACCCAGGAACCAGTCCAAAGCCAGCAAGAGCAGCACGATCTGATTCATCAGGTGATATAAGAATTCTAACACTGCGCAAGAACAAATGTCTGTGAAATAGATTATTTAATGCATTTTATCCAGTAGCAAATTTAGGAATGAGCAAGAAAGGAAAAGACTTCTTAAATTATAGATAAAATGAATTATCTTTCAAGTATTTTGGCATAGAAACTCATGCTTTTCTCAAAAAAATTAACAAAGTTGATACTAATTTACATAGAAGTTTATACAATTTATATAAAATCTATAATGATTTATACATTTATAAATAATTTATACATTTATAATACAATTAATTTTTAATCTAAGTGTCAACGCAGCATCAACTCTGTTTTCTGAATATTGGAGGCATTAAAAGAATAAAGCAATTCTTTACAGAACTTTTTCAAGCAAAGCAAAGTGAGTTGCAGCTTTATTTTTTAATCAAATCCCACACTTGTACGAGCCCCACAACTGTCACTCACCAACATATAGCACCACCATTCCAACACAGTTCTGCTCTGTATTCAAGTCTACTTGTTCTGTTTTTTTTAAGGATAGCTTTCATTTATAAACAGAATGATTGCCCAAATAAGTGAAGCTTTTCTGAACTCTTTTAGCTCAAAAACTGAGCTGTGCTCTTGTGCATCTTATACCTCTGCGTGGTTCAGGTCTGTAACCACAATAACCTTTCCATACAACATAATGAGCTGCAATATGCAATAAAAATAAACCTCATCTTTTACACAGAAATCAGAGGATATCAATAGCATTCCTGTGCATGATTAAGTCAAAGGAGAAGTCCTCAAATAGGCAAATGCTGCATCTGTCAGATATACGATTCCCTTGTCTCTTTCCATTACTTTGCTGAGGATGAAAAAGTACTTTGAATGGCAAGATGGATACAGTGGATACAGTGCTTGTGAATGCTCACAGTCGAGAAATTGAAGCTGACATTTTATTCTGCACTGTGCTAACCATAAAACATTATTGTTTATCCTAACTTCTTCCCACTGTCAGTCAGTTACACTTTTGGCAGCTGGGTAATAACCTTGAGTGTTATGCACAGCTAAGGAAAATGTGATGGTATTTGGGAACTGACTTGACAGCATAAAATCAGCAAGTATTAGGAAAGGAGCATGTAGTTGAAGTGATGTGGTCAGTTCATACATGCTTGTGTCTCATTCTAAACTCAGTCATTTCAATTCTATTATATCTGAATGTTTGATGATACACAAAAAGGTTGTACTATGCAAAAAAAAACAAGAAACACATCAGCTAAAATCCCAACTGCAAAAGGATAAATGAACAGTCAACGTATGACTCAATAACTAACCAGTACTCTATCACATAATTAGTTCCTTCTTTCTTGGGAGAGTGAGTGGTGCTCTTTTTTCTCCTTTTCCATAGAAGTCATAAATTTACCGACTCATAAAATCCTTCCATAATTGTATTTTTATTCAGGTTGATAAGTTTCATGCAATTTATTTTCTACATATGTATAACCTATTCCAAACGTTCACACTCTTCTGCTTAGCAACACTACTAGATATGTGAAATCTGGATTTCAGACTGATATGAGAGTAAATTCTTTTAATGACAGGGTGAGAACAGGGAACAAAAACATCCTTCAACATCAGGACTTAATATCTGTATATTATTTGTAATACAAGAAGGCTAATTAGCATAGTACAGACATGCAAATGCCTTATGTTGGCATTACAGATCCCAAATCCAGAAAATTCAGTTGCTCCAAAGAACTTAGTGAAACAAACAGGGAAAAGTAGTGCTTCTGTTGAAAGGAAGATGGACTGATGTGCAAAGGCTGGGCAGTTGTTAGTTCAAGGATATGAACTTCACTGTCTTAAGCAGAGCACTGTTGAGTGCATGCTATAAACCTGAAAATAAAATTTAGCCCTATGAACTGCCATAGGTCTGATGAGGGATTTTACATACAAACAACTGACAATTAGAGTGATGATACTGCATTTTGCAGTGTACAGGAGGAAAAATCTTTCCTCACTAAGCTGAAGACAAAAAGCCTTCCTCATTAAGGCGTGTGTGTTCCTTTATTTAGAATTACATCTCAAATGCTATCAAAGAAAGCAAGCATCAATAAGCAGATAGCAGTTTGGTTATAGCATAAATATGGCAACAGAGAGAAGTACAGAAACAATCAATAAGAATGTGGCAGAAAAAAAAGATAACTTTCAGAAACAGTCCTTATACCTGAAGATTGAATAGTCTGAGCTCTTCCTGCATGAAAAGAAGGCACAAAATTAAAGTTCACTGCGAACCCACTTACTAGATATTCTTTTCTAGATTCAGCATTGCGTGGTGCTATTTAGAGGAGCTGCAAAGCACAGCCTCTTTCAAAGGTTCTTTCTGAAGGTGAGCATGCAGCAATGAGTCTCTATTGGACAGGCCCACATTTTCAACTAGACTGAGGGTATAACCCAGTGTTATATCAAAAACCACATAAGACCTAACTGAGATGGAAAAGGGACAAGTCTCTGTGCTGGTGCACATCAGAGCTGATGCTGAAGGCAGAACAACAGATAGATGTAGAGCTGGTTTTTCTACAGAAAATTAAGCTTACAAACCATTCTAACAAACGGTTGGAGGATGAATCAGAGGAGTGCATAAAATTAAGAAGAAAGAAAAGGGAAGAACTTTAAGTAAAGCAAAGGAGGTTGTAGCTCAAAGGACTGTGGTACCCAAGTGAGCAATTTTGCTGTCGTTGGCAGTGAAAGAACCAAAGCTCTGAAGAGAAGGAGGGAGATCTCTATCAGCATGTTGGTTCTTACAAAATAGTCCAGCCATCTTAAAGAATGTGTTTCTCTTTAGTGATTTTTTTCTTTTTTTTTTTTTTTTTTTGCACAGCTTCACAACTGAAGAAATAAGAAGGAAAATAATATACACTTAAGTAATGGTAGGAAAAGGAGACACCAGATAAAAAAAAAATAGCTGCAATTATGAACACTGCATTCAGGTTTAAATCTTTTTAAAATTATCAACAGAACAGACAGTTACTTTAATAGCCTAATAACTACTGATCACATCCCTTGAAGAACTCCAGTAACAATGCTGATGGAAATTGCAGTAGCATTATGAAGGGACATAATGGAGGAGGTGCTGTACTGATCCTATTGTAATGCAAAGTAACACCTGCCATTTCTGTTCAGCAGAATCAATCCCACTGGAGACCTCTTTGTTCCTCTGAACAGAGCCTCATACAGTCATAATCGTTTTACAAACACTAAATATCAAAACATATTTTATGTAAAACAAGAAAAAAAAGCCACAACAAACCAGCTTAAGCAAAACTACCCAAGATGTAGTCCAGAAGAAAGTATTATTATCCAATTGCTACCACAGTACTGGATCAAGTTGTTCCACCTTGGATCATTTCTATGTTTTGATTATTTAAATACACAGTAATTATTGATGACAACCATGTTTTGTGTTCCTCCAAATTTGGCATTAACATTACAATGACTTTTTAAACAATCCCAAACAGTTACTTGGCTAATGAACTGACACTATGAAACACAGGCTAACTTCTAAATCGTACAAGTGGAAGAATGACTCAAGCACTGTTCTTCTAAACATACAGGCAAAGCTACATAATCGTTACTTCTTCAACTTTTTGCACTTGGCAACAATACAGCCAGCATAAATGTTTCTGCCCAATTGTTACTCAGTTTTCCCCTTCCCTTAAAACAGTTTGGAAACATTTTACCAGTTCATGGCAAAACAAGAATGACAATTTCTTCTTGTTAAGGAAAAAAATCAAGGTGATCCAACAGCCACGACCACAGATCACGGTCAAATATGAATCAACAGAGAATAACACAAAAGTAACTTGAAAAAAGAAAAAGTTCTCAAGAGAAGAGTCCTTCAAACAAATTTCATGCACCTGCGTAGAAAATATTACCTAATTCATTTTTTATCTCAGAATCTTTATTTGGTTTGCAAGTTTTTTGTTTGCTTGTTTTTTATACATGTATGCATCTTGATTTTAAGAGTCATTATGGGGTGCCATAAATACTTTGTGTGGTTGCCCTTATAGGATTTGGGGCTACAACATCAATTCTCACACTACAGAAAGCATCATTTTCTCACAGCCATACTTCTGTAAGCTTTACAATTGCATCAAGTTTCTTAAACTTTGTTGAAATGTAGCTAATTAAAGAGAGTAACATAACATAAAATGCTTTCAGCGGGTAAGAGATTCCGAATCTGCTTAATAGCAAAAAGAGGCAGTAATTGCAATCAATTACAACATATCTGATTATATAAATAAATTAATTAATTAAACAATATGAACTACTTGTTGCTCCATTTTTGTTTTCAAATTTCCTGGGGGGGTGGGGGGGAAGGAGGGGAGAAGAAGGGACGGAAGGGAAAGATAGCTCAAAACTCTGTATGCATTCTGTACATTTAAAAATGTTTACCATCATATGAGCGTGCACATTCATTTCTGCTCTGCTTCCCAGGGGAGAGATGAATGCATAACACACCATTCCTAGCAGTGCTAGGAAAAACTTGACAAACTGTACATCACTTAATCTGGTCACTAAGGCTATTTGCAACCTCTTTTGTTTCTGTTGATGGCTTCATATTAGTTTTCCTATCAGAGATTCTTTACCAAGTGCATCTTGTTCCACTCATTTTTCATTACTTCTTTAAAATCAAACATTAGTATGTACCTAACAGCTATTCTCCACTTCCTCTTACGGGCAAAAACCCAACCATCTGTGGTCAGAGAGTTTCTCTCCATAGCCTGTTACACCTTCCCACCAAGCACCACCTAAAACACACACCGGAATCTGAATTTTTAACCAGTGCCCTCACCTGTGCTTTGGATAATTTGCTTTACAGAGTGGTGAGCAGAAGCTGATTGAGACGTCTGGCTCACTCCCTGATCCAGAAGCTCTCCCTCTGTACTTACTGCACAACCTGGCAAAGCAAAGGGAGAACATCTCCTACGCACCAAGGCACCCACTGAACAGCTCAACTGGCAAACGTGGTCAGACAGAAGCAGACTTTCACAATGCAGATGTTAATGAAACTTCTATCAAAAACATGATAAAAGACAACAAAATCAAAACTGGGGATAAGAAGCAAATTTTGAACCTAAATTCCTTTATTTTAGCACCTCCGTATTCACATCATGCTGGCTGTATGACCTAAATAAAGTAATAGGATGCCTAGAGTTGGAAGGGACACACAGGAACCACTGAGTCCAACTCCTGGCTCCTCACAGAACTACCCAGTACTGAACCCTATGTTTGTGAGCAATGTCCAAACGCTCCTTGAACTCCAGCAACTCGCTACCCTGGGCAGTGACCGACTACACTCAGGTGCAGAGCCTCTTCCTAACACTCAGCCCGACCTCACCCTATTGCAGCTCTATGCCATTCCATTCCCTTGGGTCCTGTCACCATCACCAGAGAGCAGAGATCAACACTGCCCTCCACTCCCCGTGAGGAGCTGATGCCTGCCTCAGTTTCCTCTGCTCTGGGATGAACAAACCAAGGGACCTCAGCTGCTGCTCACATACCTTGTCTTCTGATAAAAGATGGCAACTTGCACCTATTTCCAGCACCTGTGCCTCACTCAAAGGAGACTGTGATGGCCTTCAGTAACTGATTTAAGTTACACAAAAACAATCCACACTCAAGAGCTCCCAAAGCAAATAGCTGCTGAAGAGAAGTATCTCACTTCTCATCTATGGTTTAAAACCTTACTATTCTCAATGCAGAGAAGCCGAAGGATCCAAGTCAGCTTTCAGTCACCCAACACTTTCCCCTCAGCATGGGACTACTCTACAAGAAGAGGTACCACTCATAGAATCCCATAAAGTGACTCCCAACAGTAAACGTTCCTGTTTAGCTGAACTAATAGAAAATCAGACACAGACAGAGGACAGACACAGAAGTTATTCTTTGTAAGGAGGAGTATGACCTCAACAATTGTAATTTTCATTCTCTGGGAAACAATGAAATTGTTTGGCATGCTCTTCCAGCAACACACCAGGCCTTTTGCTGACTCAGTAACTCCCCGTGCCTGTTAAAATCACAGCACTGAGCTTAATGCACTGGCCTTCACACTTGGCACAATAGGAGGAGGGCTGCAGTAGGTAACCCACCTTTCTAACCTAGGATTTTGTTCTTAGGTACCCTACCTCATAGCCAAAGAGTTGTTGTCAATGGCTCTATATCCAGACAGAGGCCAATCACGAATGGTGTCCCCCAGACACGTTTTGGGACTGGGGCTCTACGACCTCTTTGTCAACAAAGACTGTGAGACTGAGCGCACCCTCAGTGAGTTTGCAGATGACACTAAGCTGAGTGTTGCAGTCAATATTACAGAAAGAAGGGATGCCATTCAAAGGGACCTGGGCAGGCTTGAAAAGTGGATCCATGAAAGCCTGTTGAGGTTCAATAAGGCCAAGAGCAAGTTGCTGCACGTGGGCCGGTGCAATCCTAAATATGAGTGCGGACTGGGAGATGATCTCCTTTAGGGTAGCCCTGTTGAAAACGACTTGGAGGTTCTGCTGGATGAACAGCTGGATATGAGCCAACAGTGTGCCCTTGCAACCTGGAAAGCCAACAGTATGCCAGTTGGCATCAAGAGGAGTGACCAGCAGAGTGAGCAAGGAGACTGTCTCCCTCTACTCTCCCCCCATTGGAAGTACTATACCCAGGGATTTCATTCAGAAAGTGGTGAGGCACTGGAATAAGCTGCCAGAGAGGCTGTGGATGCCCCCATCCCTGGAGACGTTCAAGGCCAGGCTGGATGAGTTCCTTGGCAGTCTGAGTGAGTGGCTGGAAAACCTGCCCAATACAAGGGGGTCTTTGAGGTCCATTCCTACCCAAGCCATTGTACGATTCTGTGATTTTTTTTAAAAACAATAACACTTGTCTTTCAGGAAGCATTTCCGTATAATTTTAACCACACAAAAGGAAATTTGCTATCAATACTCTCTTGACATTCAGTATTCATCTTTGTTGATATTTTCATCTGTGCTAAGCTTGTGTTGTCCCATCTTTGCAACCAAAACAATAAACGAATGACCACAGATCTAGAGTCAATTTTTTGGCCAATGGTCTGTAACAGAAGTGATGCTGATGTTCTATTTATTGTAATTGCATATTGCTATTATTGGTATTTAGTAACTTTCCAGTTTTGAAGACATTTCTAGATTTGTTACCTAATGTTTCAAACAATTGTTTTACTGCTCATGGGTTAATGCAAGAATAAGCATGTAATAATAACGGTAACAAATACTTTGGTGGAAGTTTCCATAGTAACTTCCATCTACTGACTTGTGAACGTATGTGCTCTAATTCATGCAATCTTAGCATCCTCTATTTGCTATTTTATCTATTAGCAGCAAGTAAATAGAAACAAAGAAATTGTTATCATCATTTCTAAATTCAGACACTCAAAAATGTGGTAGGAAAACTGAATACTCATACACACATCTTTAGATAAACAGAATTTCTCACTGCAATCACACATATTCAGTATGCAACACTAAAATAAACTATTTTGCTTTAAGTCAGACCGAGACAATGGTTTCTAGTATTGCCTTCATGAAGGCTCGTTATAGCTGTAGGTCCTTAAAAGGGTAAAGAATATTTCCTCTTATCAGCATTCAGCAGAAGTGAACTGTCACGCTGCAGGGGACATGCTATGCTTTCTGTATTTTTGCTCTGAGGAACAGAACAATGGAGAGGCCAGAGGATATGGCTCAGTATGGATGTAGAAGCATGAGCTGTCAGACTGCTCTGCATCTGCAAAGGAGCCGTGAGCTCTCATCCCATACGAGTATCTAAGACTGCACACACAAGCATTTCTAAGGTCCTGGTGAAAACCAAATCTGGGCAAAGGATAAGATTAACCCAGGATTTAGCATATGCATAAAACAGCAAAGGACTAAGGCTTCTAGTGTAAGGGGGGAATGGTTCCAACTTGTGCTCACATAGCAATTGAACACTGGGACTCCAATCCTCCTAACGTTCTCAGCCACCATAATAAACAATATTTTTATTAGTTAATCAGCTAATGCTCAGATTGTTAAAGGAATGATAAAGATTCACTTATTTCTGGGGAAAAAAAAAGTACAGGTGATGTATCTTGGGAAACAGAATAACTTGAAGGCATTTTTTAAGTGACTGGGTTACCCTGATGGTTTGAGATTTGCTGTTGTACATATACTACTAGCTTTAAGTAGTCATTCAACAAGAGATAAGAGATAGAAGCAATAAACAGGAAGAAAGAAAAATAAATTTGGCAGAAAATGGTATACATATTTTTAAGCTCAAACAACCATTGACAGGAAAAAGAAACAAAAAAACAACCAACAAACAACACCACTGAAGATTAATCAACACCCTCTCTGTAATTCTTGAAGCAGTGAGTTAATATTCTACTCAAAGATGTAATATTGTTTTCTGATTTTAGAAATGAAAACCTTCTCACTGATGTTACCCAATTTTTACATACTTCGTTAATGTTAACAAAAAATAAAGACATCATATGGAAAATACATGAAGGATATACGGAAAATCCTAAATCAAGATAACCTGTACCCTAGGATATGTAGACAAGTTCCCCTTGGAACTGGTCTCACAGAACATTCTGTGTGATTCAGGTAGATCCTAGCAATACATCAACAGCATTTCTATACCGCAGTACTGAAATCACCTGGATTAGGTGTATACTCAAAAATAAGAACTTTCTTATGTAACGTGTCTGAATTCGTTCTTCTCTACTAAAGCGTGTTTGATTTTCTTGTGAGAACAAGAACAAAATGGCTGATTTTATTTCTGTATTGTTCCATTTCCCACTTTTTTGTCTTCCCACTATATCCCATGACCTCCATACAGATCTTACAGACTACATTCTCTTCAGCTTGGAAAACACGTACAATACTATTACTGCTAAATAAAAAATTATTCATAATACATACTTATTTACCATTAACGGATGAACGCAGTGAGGCTTTCACACTTCCTGTCTCTTCAGCTCCACATCAGTCAAGTCTGCTCCTTCCATAGGAACCTGTATGGGACACAAGATGGATGTGATGCCCTATTTAAAAGGTGCTTCTCTCACCTCAACATATTCCCTCTTTCTTCCATAGTGGGTAGAAGCATATTTCTTAAATCTCATCAATCAGTATTAATGAAAAATCTGAACAGGAGCAGTTCAGAAAGCATCAATGAAGGTATGACTGGAATAAAACATGGGATGAAATTAGGAATAGTAAGCTAGAAATCAGATACGCAGAAATTGAAAACTATTTGACAGCAGAAAGTGAAAGGTTGTAATAACAATAGTCTTTGAATGTGAATATTTTCCTTAGGAGGGAAAAGGAGTAAGCTCATACACTGCTACAGAATGGATTAGGTAGGAAGAGACCTTAAAGACGACCTAGTTCTAACCCTGTGATGTGGGCAGGGTTACCACCCACTAGATCCAGCAGACCACAGCCCTGTTCAACCTGGCCTCGAACCCCTCCATGGACAGGCATCCACAGTATCTTTGGCCAGTCTGTTCCAGTGCCTCACTATCCTCTGAATGAAAAATTTCTTCCTAATACTTAACGTAAATCTCCCTTCTTATAGCTTAAAATCATTTTCCCTTGCTCTATCATTATCTGCCTGAGTAAAATATCAGTCTCCCTCTGGTTTATAAGATCCCTTTAAGTAATGGAAAACCACGATGAGGTCTCCCTAGAGTTTTCTCTTCAATAGGCTGAACAGCCCTTGTTCATAATAGGCGTGCTCTAGCTCTCCAATCATCTTCATGGCCCTCCTATGGACACCCTCCAACATCTCCAAATGATGCTTTTATTAAAAATGGAAATTATGATCAATTACATTTGTGATAAAATAATTTATTTAAAAAATGCAAGAATAAACAGGCAAATAACTTACTGAAAGAAGCTGAAATACGTTCCAAGAGAGAATCTTCGATCATCCCTTTTTATAAGGGACCTAAAGAGAAGAAATGAAAAAAAAATACACAGAAGAAAAAGATTAGATATACTGTAGGATTAGGTATGCAGTATCCAGCCATAAATAAATGTTAAAGAGAAAATTAGATATGGTAAAGATCTCTTTAATTCTAGTAATAACGGCATTTAAAATTGAAAGTTGGCTTCTTAAATCTGTTTTTTTTTCTCACTTCAGTAAAAAAGACTCTATTTTGAAAACATTTTAGGCATACAAAGCGCATGAATGTGAATTATCTCAAAGGCAGTGATTACCTCCAAGTGAATTACCTCACAAGCAAAGCAGAGTAGTTCAGCAGTAGGTCAGTGTGTATTTTACTGGTGCAAAACAAACAGATTGAAGACTGCTCTTGCAACTACCTCAGCCAGCTCCTTCAGAACCCTGGGATGCACGCCATGCGGCCCCATAGACTTACACACATTCAGTCTCATGAGGTGGTCTTGGACCTGCTCTGTCCTCACAGCGGGGAGGGATTTGTTGCCCCGGTCCCCACATGGAGGTTTAGGGATGCAGGGCTCGGGAACGTGACAAGTTCTGGAATCTTGTCCACCAGTGAAGGCTAACGCAAAGAACTCGTTCAGCACCTCAGCCTTCTCATTGCCCGTTGAAGCAACTTCTCCTTTTACATTTACCAAAGCAGGTACACTCGCTTTGGCACATCTCTTGTGGCCAATGTACCTGTAGAACTTTGTCCTATTGTTTTTCACATCCCTCGCCAAGTTCAGTTCCACCTGCGCCTTGGCTTTCCTGATAGCATTTCTGCAAGCGCAGACAGCATCCCTGTATTCTTCCCAGGTGACACGGCCTTGTTTCCAGAGCCTGTATACACCTTTTTTCACCCTCAGCACGCCCAGCAGGTCCTTACTGAGCCACACTGGCTTCCTACCTCCTCTGACCACTTTCTTCTTCAGAGAGACAGAGAGTTCTTGAGCACTCAGCAAGGCACCCTTGAAGAATAGCCAGCTCTCCTCAACGTCTTTGTTTTTTTAAGACAGCATCCCAGGGGATCTCAGCCAGCAGTCCATTGAACAGCTTAAAGTTCGCACTTGTAAAGTTCGGGGTCCTGACACCACTTTTTGCCAGGCCCGCATCCCTCGAGACCACAAACTCGACCAGCTACAACCCAGGTTGCCTCCAACCTTAACACCATTAATGATTTCCTCCGCATTGGTAAGCAGCAGGTCCAGCAATGCTTCACCTCTGGTCGGTCTGTCCAACAGCTGGACCAGAAAGTTATCATCAACACATTCCAGAAGCCTCCGAGACCTCTTGCAACTTGCCATGAGGTCTTTCCAAGAGATATCCAGATGGTTGAAGTCCGCCATCAGCACAAGAGCCCGTGAGCACGAAGTCTCCCATATCTGAAGCAAGAAAGCCTCGTCAACAGTTTCCCCTTGATCAGGTGGCCTGTAGTATACTCCTATCACCAGTTGACCTTTGTTAGACCCATCCCTAATTCTAACCCACAGGCTCTCAACCTGTTCCTGACTGTTTCTCTGAGGAAGCTCCTCACAGTCTATCCACTCTCTGACATAGAGGGCAACTCCCTCACCCTTCCTATCTAGCCTACCTCTTCTAAAGAGCCAATAGACCGCAATGGCGGTGGTCCAGTTAGGGATTCATCCCACCATGTTTCCGTGATGGCAACAAGGTCATACCTTTCCAAGCACATCAAAGTTTCCAACTCACCCTACTTGTTTCCCAGGCTGCATGCATTGGTCTAAAAGCACTTGAGCTGGGCTTTCTGTCTTATCACCTTTAAAGAACATCCAGGCTTCCCTAGAACAGTAGCATCCCCAACACCCCCTTGCTCCAGTCCATCACTTTTTACCTCACCATCATGGCCTATGAAGTTCGGTACGAGCCCTCAAACGACCTGCTCAACCCCAGCATCTCTCGTTTTGTCCCCTTCCCCCTTCATACCTGGTTTAAAGACCTGTCAATGAGTCCTGCTAGCTCCTCAGCTAAGATCCTCCTCCCTCTCAGAGACAGGCTACATCCCTCTGCTGCCATCATTCCAGGAGCCAAGTAAGTTGCACCATGGTAAAAAACAAATAAATAAATTCCTGCATTTGCACCAACTTTTAAGCCATTTATTTATGAGATGGGTTTCTTGGCAGCACTCAGCATCCTGCCCTGCCACTGAAGGTATGGAGGAAAGCACCACCTGCACACCTGCTCTCTCGACTACCCGCCCCAGTCCCCTGAAGTCTTTCTTGATAGCCCTGAGACTTTTCCCAGCAACTTCATCACTGCCAGCCTGGACTATCAACAGCAACTAATAATCGGAAGGGCGAATCAGACCAAGAAGTCTTCTAAAAACGTCGCTGATCCGTGCCCCAGGAAGGCAGCACACCTCCTTACGGACAGGGTCAGGGCGACATACAGGGCCTTTGCTTCCTCTCAGCAGGGAGTCCCTTACAACCTCCACCTTTCTGTCCTTCCAGGTGGAAGCAGTCTTGAGGCACGGGGTCGACCGCTGTACCCGAGGCAACCTCACGGGTTGACCTCCCTCCACATCCCCACGCTCCTCTCCTTCATGTTCCAGGGCCTCAAACCTATTACGCAAAGGCACCTGTGGAGCTGAGGACAGTTGGGATGGGGAACGCCTGCTTTGTCGAGCCGTTACCTGTTCCCACTCCTCCCCCTTTCTCAAATTGCTCAAAGGTGGAGGAGAGGACAGGAGGCTCACTGCAACACCGCCAGCCTGCCTTTTCCCCTCTCTCACTTGTCTACAAGGCTGTGGGGAGGGGGGGGGGGAGGTGAGATGCTCCACGCAGTGCCTCAGCTACGCTCTCAGATCTTGGAGCCCATAGGGACTGGCACCACCAGTCAATCTCCTTCTCACACTCCTTTATGGTCCTCAGCCTCTCTACCGCCTCCTTTAGGTCAACCACCAGGCCAATTAAGTCCTGTAGTTGGTCACATCTTTTACAACTACCATCACCATCATTTGGCACTTCAAAGGCCAGGCTCTGGCACTCGTGACAGCCAGTGACCTGCGTACTAGCATCTCGTGTTGGGGCCTCAGTCTGAGTCTCCATACTTGTCTTTGCTCACCCCTTCTTTACTGGGCAGCTACCCATCACTGCCTCCCCCCGAGGCTATTTCTGGGCAAGGGGGGTGGGTGCAGAGCAGCTGCCCTTGCAATGCCCCTACCGCATCAGCCGCTCTCACGAGAGCTGCCCAGCCGAGAGCTGCCTGGCTGCTCTGTTCTCTCAGGCTAGAATTTCTTAAGCTAGAATTGTTCTCCCAGATGAATATCTAGAAAAGCAAAGAAACAGGATTTGAATGTGAAGAATGTTGTAATAACAATCATAGATTCACCCTGCTTTAAGGTATCACTCGTGTTGAGTGACTGTAATGAAAATAGATTTCTGCCCTTCGTAACACAGTGATTATAGGACATTTTATGATACAAATATATGGTAAAACACTTTTCTCTTTGACTGTTCCAGTCCATCAAACTTACTTGACAGCCCAATACAATGGATACATTGTGCATTTCTTTAATGACAGTGTCCTGTCAGTGTACTTACAAGTGGCAAAGATGGAAAAAATGTAAGTTGCAGTATGCTGTATGCAACTATACTTCTGATTCTACCTTGTTTTGTTTTGTTTTTTTTTAAACAACCAAGGCACACTTGAATAGCTTGCTCTTAATTTTAATAAATTGTTGGAACTCATAAGATTGGATCTACTGAATCGGAATTGTTGCTCACACTTACCTGCAGCAGAAATAAGAACAGCAAGAAAGTAATTTTTGATGGCGTGCTCGAGACCTGCAACAAAAAAAGTTCATAGTGTTCTGACTGACATAAATGTAAATGTTCAATTAAAGGGATGTTAATTTTGTGGAGGGTCTCACAGATTATTTCATGAGTAAAGATCACCATCTTCAATCAGTCAACAGTGAAGGCAATCCAGCCCACAAACTTCCTCTTGCAAATTTCCTCTTGTTTCCTAGTCATTTTTCTGAAAAGGAAACATCTCATCATTAAGGATGCAATTCATAGCAGGTGCATTACTAGTAAGGAGGTATGTTTCCAATTCAGAACATTAAGTATGACGACACACACACAGTTGTGTGCCTTTGATGAAGGCAGGCAAATGTAACAATGTCCAGACAGAGAATATCCCTCGAGAGAAACAGAAGTGCCAAACTTAACATTAATCCTACAAAATGATTGTCAGAAAGTTATGTTAAAAAAACAAAAAGGTAAAAATGGTTATAAATTGTTGCTTTTATACCAGCTTTCAAAAAACTCATATTAAATGAACATAAATGGACTGCAGACTAGGAGAACTTACATTTAGGTACGTTATCTTTAGATTTTCTAAAGGAAATAGAATGGTCTGTTAATGGCAAGACACACTGCTTTGGTTCTATATATTTTTCCAATTATTTCTTCAGCAAAATGTTTTGAAAGGACCTGTTGCTTGCATATGCACCTTCTAGAGTAAATCACAGCAGAAAAATAACTCTTCAAAACAGAAAAGATAGGCACTTCCAGAAGATGCACAGATTAGCTAAACAAACAAAAATTCGCACAGAAAAAATGCTGATACTCATTTCACTTTCATTTAGTTTCAAAATGTCATAACTTGAATGATAAGAAAACAGAAAAAATGTTGCATTTTCCTCTTCACAAGTCTATGGGGCAGACTAAGGGAAATAAATTATTTTTCCTGTTGTTTTCAAAGGCTGTACACCTTTCTGTGTAATACTGATCATTATCTCTAAGGCTGCCGACCACATGAAAGCATCCTCACTCCTGCCAAGCATTTTTCAGAACCGTCATTTGATTCTGTGCTCAGCTTAAAGCATTCAGCAAATATTTGCTGAACTTCCCACAGCTTTCTATCTCCACTCTGATCACACAAAAACTTTCTTCCAACAATCCCATGGATGCAACCTTATCATAAAGTTCCAAAATAAATATCATTTTTAACAAATTCCAGTACTTCCCACCCATCAAGGCCACAGTTTGCATATAATGTATTCACACCTAGGTGTTAGAGATAAGAAGAAGAGCTCTGCTAATGAACACAAACCAGTTTATAACAACGATAAATACCTTCTAAAAATATTTAATAAAGCTCTCATAAAAATTTCTTGCATGCAATAAATGCTGTTTACAGACAAATGCAAAACATTTGGTTGGAGATCTACTCCTGAAAAATTACTCATGAACAACATATTTTCTTAACTTTACATAACTAAAACTCTTCAAAAAAAATTAAGCAGCAAAGTAATCATCTATCAGCACCTTGATTACATGGCCTTACACATATGAACTCCGTACATATGACAAAAAAAACACACCGACAAAAGCCATTCGAGTGAGAACAGCAAGGAATGCCTGATTATGTACTCATTTGTTTCGAAGTTATCTGTCCTGTAGGATGAAAGTGGACAGAACAGAGAAACTTAACACGTATACAGCTTTTAGAGGTTTAATAATGCTTGAGCAGCACGGATACTCGCACACCATGGATTGTTGCATAAACTATTAAAGGAATAGGAGTTTGCTTGCAACCAGTCATTTTTGTAAAAGGACAGTAATAACAGAGCACGACATATATGCAGTATGCATTAGCTTCTCTGCCAGTGTGTTAGCCCTGCTTTTTTCTTGTGGTAGTCTGAATCTTCTGTGCTCCTCCTATGTTACACTGGCCACACGATAGCTTAACCTGTGAGGAAATGTCTACGCAGCACCAAGTACAATCCTGCAGGTGGAACCAGTCTGCCCTCTGGCATTCTGCCTGGGTTCCTCAACTATTCTGGTAGCCCAGGACAAATGCTGTTACAGTATACTATCACTTAAATTACTGATTTCTATTATATCCCATTAACCCAGATTTAGAAATTTACCAATGTACTCCTAAAACAGAAGCAACTAGGTGGCTGGTTCACACCACTGCATTTTTGAGTGACTGGTTGAGGGATGACTAGGAAAGCCATATGCTATGGAGTACCATTTGCTCACTCACTTCCTGAGTTCTTCCCCTGGCATCACAATTTCCCTTGAAACTACTGAGACACTCATCTTTTCAGAGTACAGAACGTCATGGGGCTATACAAATTCTATTTCACAGATGTTATACAACATACGCAACAGAAAGAAGCCAGACCTGAAGCTCCGCCAGAGAACAGTCATAAGGGCAAGAGAGATAAAGACTTCATTTTCACTGTTTCAGTTCTTCACCTGTATTTCTTTATGCCTTATCTCTTCATAGGTTATCTACAGCAGATGTGGTGGATAAGCCTCTGCTATGTTTGATTAGAGGCCCGATTCAGCTCAGCTTGCCTTATGTGAAGAGCAGTTTTGAGGCATTTCTCACGTAGAGCACATGATAAATCTGTAAGCTGCACAGCTGGGACTTCAACAAGAAATGCAGGTCCCAAGCTGATTTCCTAGTTACTCCTGAGAGTAACACATCAGTGGAAAGCTTTTATCACAGTAGTCAAGGGAGGCACATGTGTTTTCAGGCAGAGAGCAAAATTTCTGACCTACACCAAAATGCTAAGAATTGTTCTTGAACTCTGAGAGCCCTTATCACAATGCTTCCAATCTTTTGTTCTTTTTCATAGCACAAAAACATGGAACACATTATATTCATAAGCTAGTGAGCCAACAAAATTAGAAGAGAAGAAGAAAGTGTTGGAAAATTATCGTGGAAGCAAGCTGACTCCTTCCAGACCTCTATTTTGTGCTGCACTAAGTGCACAGGGAAAACTTGCTGATTTGTTGTGAGATTTTATTCCGTATACCCTAGCATTTTATGCATATTTTAGAGGTCGCCAGGGAAAAATTATCTGTCAATTTACAAAGCACTTTAATTAATTACAAAGCTTTCCTTTCTATGTTCTTAATGCGATTTCTGTAACCATTTCATGCTAAGGCTTACCAAGTTATTTGAAAACCATTACTCATACAAAACTTTGAGAATTTTTAACACCAGGCTTGTGGGTTTAGGCTCTGATGTCTCCAGACAAACAGCCTAAAAACTAGCTTAGGTTTTTCAAAAATGCACAGTGTCACTAAGTTTCCAATGACCTCCTAAGAATAGCTTACTAAAAGCCAGGTGAAGGTCCATCTAGCTCTGCAACCAGCTCTTCACAACAACTAGTGGCGGATGCTTAGTAAAGCATGAGGAAGGCACAGCACAGACGTACAGAGGGTACCTCCTGAGTAACCCTGAATAGCCAGGAGCTTAACTCAAGACATGCCAAAAAATTTGCCCCCAAGACCTGGATTCTGAGAAAGTCTAAGGGGACGCTGCCCTGGTAGACTGTGTGCCATCATCAATTCCAGTCACTCATTACCACTAGCGCTGCACACACATCCTCTATCTCAGCTTTCTTACAGATTCAGTTTCCATTTATGAACGTAACACCGAAACTTTTCACTTCCTAAATGGACTGAAGAATGAGTCTCTTAAGTGCTTCAATAAAGTTTCATCCGTGGCTAATCTATGGCAGAACAGATAATGAAAGTCCCATCCTCAGCAATGAAATTACGCAGGTGAAAGTTACATTACATAAAACAACAGTGACTACGTACAGTCCAGAGACCTAGGTACAACAACATCTTGCCACGAATCCCCGTGACCAATAACTAATTCTAATGTGAATTTACATTGCAGAAGTACAGCTGTGTCTGAGATGCAATAGCAACCCATGGTGAAATCAGTATGCACATTGCCAAAATGCCAAAGGAACCATATTAAGGAAAAGAACTATGAAACACAACTGACAGGGAGAAAGAATGCGTGCCTCACGTTTCCACTCAAACCTTCTGAAACAACATATGCTACAGGAAAAAAAAGGTGACAGAAAAGGAAAAAACAGGTTGCTTATGAGTTCCACGGTTTCTGTAATTACTTACTTTATTTTCACTCCCCAAACCCTTTGCCAGTATCTTCAGCTGCAAAGATGAACAAGAGTACTACAACCAAAACCACTTGCAGCTTTCTGGAGAGGTTTCCTCACTACATTTGCTCTCCCTCACTGTTATAAGACAATGCACGAAATATGATGGGAATTATTTCATTATGATGAGCGTGCTAAACAACGTGGGTCAAGTAGTAAGAACAAACCTTTGTTGTTTCAATCCATGATTCACATCCACTGTGGCATGAAGCACATCCACAACTCTCAAGTGTAATTTTACAAAGCTGTAAAGAATAAAGTGCAGTTCAGAATAACGATTCACGAGTTGTGAAACTGTTCAGTGAACCCAAATATTACTCAGCATGTGCCACTGCAGCACACATTGCTGTTAGCTCAGCAAAAGCCCCCTGGATTAAACTCAGGAAATTCTCTATTCTAAAAAAAAAAATAAATGTTTACTGAAAGAATAGACCTAAATCAGTTTCCTAGGAGATTTTTCAAACACTGTAAAACAAAGTCTGCTTTCAGAAGCGCAGCAGACGCTACGACAGGAACAAAAAACAGCAAATCTTGGTTTGTACCCCACACCAGCACTCATGCACTGAACGTTAGTGCTCTGTTTAGGGCACTTGCTTTACTGAACAGACTGAGAATATTAACAGTTATATACTGCTTCCAATAAGACATCTGGATGTTATATCAAAATAAGATCCATCTCAGTTAGCAGGTTTTTATTTTTCTGGAAACTTATGAATCATCAACATACAAAACATGCCTTAAAAACTGAATATATCAGCAAACAGCAAATGCTTTCTACAAATCTTCAGAAACAAGCTGCTCCTATTCTACCTAATCTAGAGTTGCATTTATCTGTAGGGAATACCTTCACATAGTGATCAGGAATGCAGTTTTGAGAAGCAAAAATTTTCACTCTAGTTACAACCATTTAAATAGCATAAGCTCTGTAGAACGAAGGGACTCAAACTCCACGAATTCATCTCCAACTCAAATCAAGACATATCGTTAGCAGAAATTTCACAGAAATCTTAGATTTTTGTTCCAAAACACTTAGGAGTTTTTTGGAATCGAGTATTTCCGTTCAACAGGCTAAAAAACTGGAATTCCTTTGTAGGTCTGAGAAAATTCCCAGAAAAAACCTCCACTGATTCTCACTGATTCAAGCAAAGGCTCACATGCAAGATACATTTCTGACTTGTAAGCTTACACAAATGTGGCAACACAGCATGAATCTTGCACTCTAGTTTCAAGCATGAATCTGCTCTGTGCTTTCATTTCTGTATTATTCTATTGTATTTCAGCTTTATCAGAAGACCAGAGGATTTCGATCAGGACAGTAAATAGCTGTTTTGCTTTCCAATTAAACTCATTCATGCAGAAGCCTTAATATACCTGCCAATGGAAATACAACTTATGCATTATGTAAGGCACACAGGTATCAGTATCTATTAAAAATTTAACAAGTTGAGGGGAGATAAGAGGATTTCTCAAGATCATACAATCAGAAACAGCCTGCCAATAGCCTGCCAAGCAAGACCAAAACCTAAAGGCAATATGCAAACTTGCATACACATCCATATGATGCCAAAGATAATGAGTTTGCAGCCTGCTGATCAAACTGGAGTTGAATGCGGAACTCATTCGAGACATGAGACAAATGCACAAACAGCCCTGCAGAGCTGTTCTATCCCAAAACCTGGCATTTCAATGTACCACATAGCATGCTCCATAGGTACTGACACTGATACAGGGAGAGCATTTTGCTTCAAATGCCATTTCCCACGTGTCTAATGAATGACAGACAATATCTTCAACTTTCCACCATCTGCTTCCAAGAGTCAAAAACATCAGGTGGAAGGTACTGCGGTAAGTCCTTAAATATTTTATTTGCCTTACACAAACAAAAAGGAATTCCTTAAAACACAGTGCAAAGTAGCATTAATTATTAATGTAATAACGTATTTCAAGAAAACAGACGTGACTGAGGTCATACATTATGATGATATACAATCGTTATAATGATTAACAACTGTTTACGAGAACGCATCCACAGTGTTGGTAAAACTATGTTCATCTGTGAATTAGTTAATCCAAAAGCTTTATGAAAACATGAAAGGACAATAATCAGAAAATCAGCTTAGCAGCTAAATTTGTACAAGACAATTTCTACGACTGATTACTTTCCGAGCAATTCCGGGATATGGCAAAGCCTTCAAATAAGAAACAACTTAAGAATGGCATACTTGTAATTGGTTTGTATTCATCTTCCCAGCAAATTTATTTGCAAAATAATAGTCAGAATTGCTGTTCCATTTTCTAGTATATGAAGGAAACCACTTATATTTATGTACACACAAAAATGTGTGCTCTGAACGCTCCCTGCTAACAGACTGCGCTGCTTCTGAATAATGCTAACAGGCAATTTCAGTCCTATGAATTAAACAGACTTGCACTCCACTTTTGTTTACAGGCAGTCTGAAAAAAGCCCAATACAACACATGCTCCAAATCTTTTCTTTCTTAAAACATCTTGTGACCTCAAAAAGTTCTGCTTTTTTTTTTCCCCCCTCCAGAAGTTGCAGCAATGTTCAGATGTCATTGAATGACCACTCATGAGGAGCTCGAGCTGCTATGGCTTCTGAGAATGCCAACTTAATCAATTTCCAACTTTAGTAAAATAAACAGTAACAACAGACATGGTCGCATAACTATGCAGTTAGCTTGCAGTTAACTTTCCCTGCACCTTAACTTGATTCAAAGTGAGAACTTTAAGCCATTTACAGAGAGAGTGGTGAGGTGCTGGAACAGCTGCCCAGAGAGGCTGTGATGCCCCGTCCATCCCTGGAGGTGTTCAAGGCCAGGTTGGATGGGGCCCTGGGCAGCCTGGGCTGCTATGAAATGTGGAGGTTGGTGGCCCTGCACGTGGCAGGGGGTTGGAGATTCATCATCCTTGAGGTCCATTCCAACCTTTCTGTGATTCTGTATTTTTTTTTGGAAAAGCCAATGACAAATATTGGAGAAGGGAAGATTTGGTGGGGGGTGGGGAATCTTAAAAATGCTTACAAATAACTAATGGGCAGGAATGAAGTGAATGGGGCCAAGGTCTTTTCAACAGTATCCAATGACAGAACAATGAACAGTGAGCACAAACTGAGACACAGGAAAGCTTCACCTAAACATGAGGAAAAACCTCATAGAGACAGCTCATTTGAGACAGTCAAAATCTGCCTGGAAGCTTTCCTCTGTAAACTACTGTAGAGAGCCCACTTTCAACAAGGGAGCTGGAGCAGTCCACATGTCCCTTCTAACAAAAGATTCTCTGATTCTGATTTGCACATTTCAGTGCAATTGCACCCGAAATAAAGCATAAAGAACACAGAGTATTTCTCCTTCTATGTCTGTTTGGAGCACACACTCCAAGCACACAAGCTAACAAGCCCTCCGTAGAGGTTTCTAGGTGCTCAAACAGTTTATAACAAAAATGATTTTTCTTGGCACGATAAAAGAAAAATGCATCCCACCATAATACCTGCAACTGAATTTTCAAGAGGGATGCCTTTTACCTGTGGAAGGCTGGAAGTGAAAGGTACCTGCTACACTACATAAAATGCTTGATACACACCCTGCAGTATCACAGATGTGAATTTACCCAGCAAGACAGAAATCAGAATAGTGCATGAGAAAGAAGATTTAAGGGACTCTGACCACTTATTATCTCTGGTCCTGAAAGCTTATGCTCCCACTTCATACAAAATGTCACAGCTGCACATCACCTTTTCTAGGCAACTGAAGGGTAAAAAAAAGCAGTTCTAATCTGCTAAACAGTCTTGAGACACAAATCAGTCTCTGTCATTAACTTCTCTGATGTGTGCCTAAGGTTAGTATGCTATAAATCTCTGGAGAATAAGTAAAGCAATCGTGCTACCATGGAGCATCAAACATACAGCAGCAAAAAGGTTAGAGCATGAAAAACACCAAAAGCTCCAATTTAGTCTGTGAACATTAACAGTCATCTGTTTGTATCAGCAAACCTTGTAACTCAACGTGGCAGGGGACCAGTATATAAATGATGTGACCTCTGACCAGCAACACAAGAACACTGCTGTCTAGGAACCTGCTGAGTCAGGAAATTCAGTTTGCTTTAAACATATGCTTCAATACCTTTTAGCTTTTGTTTCATCCTGAAGTGTAAGCTTGTATGTACAGGTCTTTTCTGAAGGAGATTGTATGATTTATCAACAGCAAGCAAACACTGGGGAGGGGAGGGGGGTGGAAAGGAAGATGATAAGTTGAATTTTCAGGGAATACAGTATCAATATTGTTAGCAAAATGGAGTTTTTTCTTTTCAGGCAAATGAACAACGTATGGAAAATCAGGCTTAAGACTTTAAACACAAGTAGAAATTAGATACAATGATAAAAATATACCACCAAAACTTCTACGGAATTGGGTTTAGTCCAAGAAGAATTGCAGGAGAAAGCCAATTTTCAATAATATTAATAGGCTATTATACAGGTAGAGCACAGCTTGTAAGTATAAAACAGTTTTCAGAAGGAAGAACTTTCAAAGATAAAGCTGAAATCCTTTACTCTGTTGTTCTGCAAGGCTATAGTAACACATCATCCTGAATAAAGGCATTTAAAGATGGGGAAATGCAAATTCTTGATACTTCAATTGTTTTCCCAGCTTCAGCTTTACCAAACCTGGAATTGCAACACTCTAGAAACTGTAAAATAAGAACTGTTTATAAAAGATCCATACCTAGAATCAATCTGAATAAATGCACTGAGGACTTCCCTACATCCTGTGTATGTGTCCCACATTCCAGTACAAAGTCCACACCTTATACCAGTTCCCAGCCATCTAGGGAGGCTGGGAGGAGTCCTGTCCTCCTTCAGTTCCAGCCCATGACTTGGCCTGATATAGCAAAAATTGGGCCACTGTTTCTCCAGTGTCAGACACCTACCAAAGAAGGCCTCCTCAAAAAAAAAAACAAACAAAACAAAATCAGCCACATCTTCAACCAAATTTCCATATCTTCGTTTCATTCCATCAGTTCAGCATAGGACCACTGCATTTACAAAATGCAAGTACTTTTTTTGAAGCATGATTCTCAATACAAAAATTTATTTATTTTGATACAGGCTCATAAGGGCACAAGTACAGGTAGATAGACAAAAAAAGAAGTTAGCATGAAAATTCAGAGGAAGTCAGTGCACTATTAATCTGCCACAGCAGACTTAAGCAGACTTCGATATCCTAGTTAATTTAATAATGATGCCCTAAACAGGGCAAATATTTTCACATTTTAATATAAAGTTACTTCATCTGTCTTCATCATTTATGCATCATTTTCTATGAATAGTGTGAGTTTGTATGAAAATACAGGCAAGAATTAAAGGGCTGGAGATGAAATGTAGAATTGTCAGATGTGAGGCGATGCACAATAAATGCTATAATATGAGCCACTCAATCACACTGCTTAAGTTGTATTACATCTAAGTCAAATTTCATGTTTTGGTGTAGACAGCTGAGAACAATATCAAGCGTTTAAAGTTAGCAAAGAAGGCAAAGAAGTAGCATGCACAATTAATGAAAAAACCTATGGTGGATTTGTTATTGGAGTATTATTTTGTTCAGCCTATTTGAGGATGAATTTTGCAAGAAAAGAAATCTTTCAGAAAGAAAAAGAATAAGAGCTTTTAATAGTTCATTAGCTCTGGATGGAATGGAGTTTGTACTAGTAGGAGTCTGTGTGACTCATATGCATTTTGAACGTGTGATTAAGTTGCTAATATCACTGTCTGCCTGATTACGAACAGGGCTTCCGGGTTTCACAGCTCTTTACCAGCAAAGAGGTTGGGGGGTGGGCAAGAAGCTGAGGGGCACAGCCAGGTCAGCTGATCCAAACTGGCCAGCAGGATATTTCAGGCTCAGCAATAAAAACGAGGTTTTATAGAGACTGAAGGGAATTTGCCTGCATGTGGGAGCTGCTGAGTGATTCCTTCTGAATCACTCGACAGTGGGGTGGCTTAAAGTCAGAAAGTCTGAAGATAACGCAAGCCTCAACAAGTGGAAGAGCATCTTACACTGGAAAATGCCATGAGGAATGTGTTTGTTTGTACAGACACGCTGATAGTACTTGTTTTTATCAAGCTGTGATAGCAGCACAAAATACAACAAGGTGTATAAAGTAGTGATGAACGTATATTTTGCATAACAATAAATCACTTCCATTCTTTAATATTTTTTCTCCTGCACCAAGTGACTAACGTTACCTATTCTTTCTGAAGGTCAAAACCCCATTAAGTCAGAGGCATGCACCTTCCCCCTCCCTGTTTGCACACAACCGAATCCTTAACGGTCAGATGCAGAGACTGGGTGTTATCACACCAAAAGGCTTTGAAACAGGCTACAATTCTGATTAGCAACTGGAAATGTTAGTTTTAGGATGCATTTTTTCTGTCACATAACTGATAATTATTTTGGTAAAACAGATTAAATAACAGCCCATGAGAGCCACTAAGATATTACATCTGTACATTTTCTGGTATGTTAGAAAATACTTTGCACAGCATTATCACATAACCAGGGTCAGGGAAATACATACATAGACACACATCTAGGTGCAAATATACACATATATACACACACATTGATGTAAGAAAGTATGAACAATGAACTAAAAAGTATGATTTACTTACATTCCTGTTGCATTTCCCCAGTTCAATATTAGAGAGAAAATCATCCTGAAGGAGTTGGTCCCTACCTTCCCATAATTATCCTTCCTCTTTACCTCTGCAATAGAGCTTTTCTTTTCTTGACTTTTTAAATATTTGTACTTGTCAGGAATCTCTTATAGGCTTACTCATTATGCAAGAACGTAAGCACAGAAGTAAATCTGTACAGAAAAAAAAGCCCACATCACACACACAAAAATGAAACAAAAAAAACCTTTTAATTTATTAAATAACCTTCTCTGCCCATAGGCACCTGGATTAGGAACACAAGGCCAGAATACACAGATGACAACAGTGTCCTCTTGGGATTTAGCAGTAGGGGAAGTGCTGTTGGATTTTTTCTGTGTGTTATTTATTTTGCCCACTGATGAGAAATTGGATAAAGCATCGCCTTAAAGACAACCTTCAGAATACCAAGCTTTAAGGAATCAATGTCAATTTTCTTTGAGCTCACTGTCTAAATTTGAGATCCCTGTTCTCTCTTGTTCACCCACTACCACATTCATAAATAAATCAGTACAAGGCATGGAAACTTTTCAACTTGAAAAGGATTATTTTTTTATATATTACAATTCTCACTTACATTTTAGTCAGATTTAGGTTTACATCCTCCTGCGTTTTTATGATTTTTTAGCCACTATTCCTAAAAGATAATTTCTGGGAATTACTTCCCTACGTAGTCTCACAAGCACTTTAGATTTTAAGTCATTGCTTTTCAAAACGATTTCTAACATCAGCCAATTTCCCACCAGCATGGTTTACTCAGAACAGTCTCCAGAAGCGCAGGCTATTCTTCCACGTAAGAAAAAAGCACAAACACAGTAAGACACATTCTCAGGATTTTTCAGAACAGTCTTCCCATTGAAACTGTAATTATCCTTCATCAGGGAAAGTGGAAAATGGAAAATTTGGTTTTTTGAGAAAAGTATCTTCCCTCCCTCCTTTTCAGCTCACTTGGATACAGGAATTTAGCTTGTAGCACTGACGCCCCATGCTGATCTAAAGAATAAGCAAGTCCTGTTCTGTACTTACTACTACAGACATAAAGAGGTACTTATATCAAGTCCTAACCACACTGGATTGCACATTTTGCAAATGAACCTGAAGATGTTCTGGAATTTTAGATGTTCCATGCACCTGTCTTCCTAAGAAATGCTTTTTACCCAAGGAAAACTTAGAATTTTAATTGATGTGATTCTTAAATTCACAGTGGACGACGCAGCGATAAGAAAGGTACTCCATCTGACAACTGGAGCTAGAGCAAAGGTAGTGAAACACCATGTCTGAATAAACGGAAAGAAACCAAAAGAAACATCAGCTAAAATTTCAGGACAAGACATAAATAAAGAAAATGGAGAGAGGGACATTTCATCCATTATTTTACAAATACATGACAGGCGTTTTGACTCAGCACAGGCAGTTGTGCTCAACGTATACACTCAGTAACAGAAAAGATATGGCAGAGCTTGAAGACACTGACTAATAGCCCAGATGATGCATTCACTGACAACTCATTTATTACACATAGGACATGAAAATGTGCAGCAGAGCCAGCCTATGCTGCTAAGTCCTCCACAACTAATGTTCACCAGAACCGAAGAGTTATGATGGGCCCTGGCCAAGTTTTGATTATTGCTGTTGTACTTGCTCCAGAACCAGTTTTCAGAATCCCCATATTCAAGAAATGTTAGTTTATAGGGAAACTTTTCCATAAAACCTTCTTTGTTGAAGTGGTATCTCTCTGTGCACACCATTTAACCATATTTCATTTTAGAAGCTGAGAGAAACTCTTGAAACTATGCTCTTTCATTCAAGATCAGGTTATATAATTCTGCAATTCTGAACACTGTGAACAGAACCTTAACAGAACCACTGTAAAAAGAACCTTCATATTAATCTTCATATTAAAACACAGCGTAACAAAACATAGCTACTGTTTTACATCATCATCACTCGTCCAAAATACATCTGAAATACTGGAACATATATTTTCAGATCTTTTCCAAGGTACGAGTCCATTAGTGCACAGATAAAAATACCAAGTTAGAAATGGTTTACAAACAAGACTTTACATCAGAAGTTCTGTGACAGAACTTGAAGAGCTTAGAAGTCCTGAAATGTATCTGCATACCTGTGAAATCACTCAGCTGTCTGTTTTTTTTCTGCAGGGTCATTCTAAACACTGCAGTTGACTAAGTGTTTTTGTTGCCAGAATCTACTAAACAAATTCTCTCAGGTTTCTACAGATGAAAGAGACCGAGCTGAAACAGCTTCTCACACAAAATGTGGTCTCTTTGATTACATTTACAGACCCTTCAGACACTCTACCAGTCTTTTCCTACACCTTTCAAGCTGTGACAGCTTAGATAAATGACACGTTAAGTAGCTCACTATAAGTCCACTTCTGCACTATACGAATCGATGGCAGCATTATCAATGACTTCAATGGCAGCTGGATTGAAATTCAAAATGAATAATGTACACATTTATCAGAAGAAAAAATACAATTCACACCTTCAAAACTTCTCCACATCAGTTTATACTGAACCAATCTTACTACAAAACAGGAAGCAGTGGCTGGACGCCTTTGTAGAGTACTACTAAAAGCCACTGAAATGCAGCTTCTCATTCTGCCATTTCCATTCAAATCTCTTGTTATGATTGCTTGCCACTGAAGTCAAAGGAATTAAAAGCCATTTCAACAAATGTTGTATTAAAGAATAAAAACAATATGGGACAAGCAAGGTTTTAAACTGCCTTCTGAGACAGGCAAAATATTGATCTCCTAGAAATTGATCCCGCTATGAAGCAGTAACCAGAATGCACATAATTTAAGATTAAGCTTGTAAGAATCACACAGGCAAAGAGCTTTGGTGATTTAATGTGCAATATAACGCTCCTATAAGGCTGGAATAATGCATATTCCAAGTGGGTATGTATTTCATTTTCTACTGCATGAAACCAGAGTGCTGAAGGGCAGCCAGCCTTCCAAGTTTCGCATTCTGCAAAGACCATTCCTGTTGTCCAGGTAACTAGAATCTGCAAATAAATCTCTAGGTAATAACAAATCAAATGCCACTAATATTGAACACCTATGAATGTATTCAGAGATGACATTTCTTTCCATCTTAATTCATACTCTGTGGCAAATATAAAGATGTTAAGCTACTCACTCTAAGGCAGAGAATGAAAGCCCGAAGCCTCAGCAACCTTCTCACAAGTAGTCTTGACATTGCTTTCAAGATCCATCGTACTTAAAGACCCTGTGAAAAGATAAGAATAACATCATAGCAATGAAATAAGAATATCACTCCTTACCTCAGCTTTCTGTACGGGACATGGAGCACTGTGGACGCGATATGTAATCCCACACAGACCCAGGTTAAGAATAAAGTAACACCTGTCCTTGAAAATCCTGTCATGAATATAAAGGAACTCAAAAATCTCTACAGAGAATTACGTGAACACGACTTAGAGATCTGACTTTTGACTCTTCCTAAAAATGTACTACTTAAGACACAGACTTTATAAACTTGTATTTTTTCCCATGCAGGGAAGTTTGTATTTTAATCTCTCTGTGGTTAGAGATATCGTGTTGACAGAGTCGTCACGGTAGAAAAAGAGGCAATTTTCTAGATGGTTATCTCTTATGCTTTCTTACTGTAACTTGGATGCCTTTTTTTTCCAAAGCTGTTTCTTCCATACCCTACAAAATATTTCAGAAGGCTGGGAATGAACGCTGTATATGCTAATATATCTCTTAATGGATTGCTCATTTTCCTGTATCCACTGGTTTTTTTTGTGCAATCCAGAGGCTGGGTTAGATGCTGTGGCATAAGATAGTAAGACAATAAGGAGGGATGTTTATTATGTGCAACAGATTGTCTCCATTTTGCACTGCCTGGTAATAGCTAGAGCTCAACAACTCTACCATCTTAAAGACACAAATCTCTTTCTAGACAACAAAAAAGGAGTTGCCTCAAAATAACATGACTAGGATGCTCAAAATTACAGCCATGCTTCAGCTGGAGCAGCAGTATGAATATTTGTAAGAAATTTCACTTCAGCTAATGGAGGTCTCAATACCTGTTTTTTCTGCACTTAGGAATATTCTTATTTTAGAGGTCATCTGTTCAAACACACAAAACAGAGGATTGTTTTAGTGATACGTGACAGTGATTAAACGGTCTATTTAAACACCAGATTTGTTTTAAAATGCACAGCCTTATGAATCAAACATCAGCTGTTTCTTTACAAGCACATTTTTGCAAGCCTCATATGTATAATACAGCACTCCACTCACTACACCGAGTGTCATTACACAGAGTAATAGATCATATAAAGCAACACAGCAAACCTCATGTACATAAGCACACACTGAATCAATGTCAGCTCTTCAAATAAGCCTCTGAATCCTGTGCTGCAGTTGCACAGGAACAGTGCCAAATGTCCCACTGAGATTCACCCATGATATCCAGAATATTTTCTCAGCAGGCTATTTGCCCACATCACCTTGATTAGCTAATAGGAATTAACGTTGAACGAGCATGACTATTCAGGGTATCATTTACAGGTTTGTTCAAGGAAGCTTTGAGCACAGCAGCATTTGAACGAAGGGGAAATGAGGGGAATTAAACCCACACTTCCAGCTGTCTGCACTTACAGGAAACAGAATTGTTCTCCTTATGCACATGAGTATATTCTCTATACTTCATGCAAACTCTGGGCCTCCAACATCGTCTTCTCCAGAGGATTATTATGAACATGTTGAGTTCTCAGTTCAGCTACTGTCCTCAGCAACAGAAAAGTTAGTTTTGTCGCCAGTCAAAAAACAGTTCTTATAATTTCCAAAACAAAAACAACTATTTCCCCACTTTCAAAATTTAGCCCTAGAACAGCAAAACATCTGGTGTTTCTTTCTAAATATTAACTCCAACAATCCTACTAATTCCTATTTCATTTAGAGGCAGTTCCCACAAAATCAGTAGGTAGAAGTAAGGTTGGTATTCGTTGGCTTTTTTCACCCTTGCCTCATATGTGGCTACAAATAACTTTACAGATCAGGAAACATTCCATCATACTAGTTGTGCTTATCCTATGAAGTCAGTGGAAGTAGCCAAAGTAGCCAGGAGTCAGAATTATTACTCCTTTCGAATCTCATGTTGAAACCAATGCCAGAACGTGTTTTGGAATTAACTTTTAAAAATGAAACTAAACTAAAAGAGGAAACAAACAAGTAACAAATAGAAAAGAAACAACCAATATGGAAATCGCAACTGCAGGCTATTTGCAGGAAAATACACGGAGAAAACAGGGTTGTGATACTGTCATCTCTACACTAACTTGATGAGAGATACAATTTATCTTTCTCTCCTAGTTTAAACTGTGAGATACTATCTATCTTTCATTCCCAGTTTGAAACTGAAATCTAAATCCTCAAATCCAACCTATCAGGAATACATCAGGCTGCTTCAGATTAGTGCAGGGTTTCAAAACTTAAGGGCATCAGGACAACCTTGGTACAATTTCCCTTCACTCACCCTCTAACAACAGGTATGGCAAAACTGCAGGGAATCATCTCACAATAAACCCAAGGGGCAGATCTAGATTTATGACAGTGGAAGCTGGTCAGCTAAATATGTAAAAGATTTAGTGGCACCGCTTTTAAGTCATTCTATAAAAAAACGTATGCTTGAATTGAAAAAGTAAAACCTCAGAAATGAGCAGAAGGTTCAACCCTGCTCTGCATCAACAAATGAGGGCACCCCACCTGCTGAATTCAGCCTGCAATCCTATTGGAATCTTATTAACATTGAAGCCAATGTTCTTCTTTAACTCTAGTCACAAAGGTGAAGTAATAGAAGAGGTTAACTTGCAAGATACAGCATAAGCCTAAGAATAATCTGATTTCCACAACAACACAAACACTGAAAGATTATCTCATTGAACTAAACTCATCCACAATATGGAGTTTTATGCAAGTTTCAAACAAAAGTTCATCAGAATGTCCTCAGCTGATCCAAGGCAGAATAAAGGACTCTGGGATAACATATGCATCCCAAGAGATAAAAAGATGCACCTGTGTTTCAATGAGGCTTGTCAGAACAGCTTTGCATTCCCTGGCACTGCTGGTTGCTGAGAGCAGCAAAGGCTATACTGCAAGCACTCTGCTCCCTTTAACTCCATTGCAGCCATTTCCAACAAGTCAGCTCAGCTCCACCTACAAGTGCCAGCCAACAGCACAGTAGCTTCTATGTTCTTCTTGCAGACCTCTATTATCTGTTTACATCCTACTGCTTACTCCCCATTTCTGTTGCTTGCTTTCATTTTTTGTTCTGTAAAGCTACGCAAATGTGACTGCTGCTACTTTTGTGTTTACAATGTTGCCTTAATCAGTGTGAAAATACAAACACAACAGACAAAAAGACCGTAGGAAAACAAAACCCTTCTGAAGGAAAGGCCTTCATCTCCAGTATTTGCACACTGTCATGCCAGGAAGCCATTGGAAAAGTTTTGATTCCAGATACCTCTCACTACACGCCAAATTCTACATACATAAGTAAATCTTTTAGTACTGTTTCTAAGGGGTCGATACTGTCATAGCCAAATACAAAATGAAAGTCACTGTCAAACTCAGAAAAAGAAGGAAAACCTTCTGAAATAGGAAACATGGTCCCTGTCCATAGTTTGTCAACCCTACCTAAGACAACTGGCAAGAACTCCTTCAGAAATCTGGGAAGCAGACGTTTCAAAACTTCACTCATATCTGCCAGTTCTTATACGTTTGTATCAGCTATTATACATAGCATTTATATTGAATTTATACATTGGTACTTTTAAAGAGCAGTTTAACAGCTCAGACAAGCTTTCCCACAAATGCTTAGAGTGGAAGAAGAATGGTTTTAAGAGACAGAGTGAGACAAATACAATTCCCTTTATCTGTCCTGAAAATGTAAGGAAACAGCCTTACCAACCCTATTAACAGTCTCTCTTGAGATACTATGAGTGCTTTTCCTGTTTAAATAGAACTGAATATTACAGTTTACTTTTAACATTCTCCAAAAAACGTGCCATACCTTGAACTACTTTTAGGACAGCTCAAAACTGAATCAGCAACTGATGCAACAAGTTGATTAACAACACGTACTTAGCAGTGGTCCAAGCTTCGCAGCTTCTGCCCAAGGTGTAAACATGAAATCCAACAATAGAGGTTACAGTAGAAAATGAGTATTTTGAAAAACTGCAGCAGTCATTTGGTCACAAAAAGTTGGATATGTCTTGCTTGTATAACTTCTGGTCTAAAGTCTCTTGTTGAAGTTAGTTTAGCTCAACCAACACATTCAGTAAAGCAACTGACACAGCACCTTGTTTCTTACAGATGTTCACTTCAGTGCAAGGATACAAGTATACTCCTCTTACATAACTTCTAGAACTAATTCCCTTTGTGTCAATGCAGAACAATAGATAAAAATAAATGAAGTTTACTTTCACATACACATTTTTGCACAGGGAGATTTAGAAAAGACTGAATAAATTGAGACAAGTGTTGAGGTGTTTTTTGCATTCAAAGAACAGTTTACCCCTTTCAAGGTTAAAGATCATCCATGTCTCATCCTCATGCATTCTCTAAGGACGTAAGAATTCTACTCACTAAAGCTGCTGTTAACTCTAAAGTCTGCCAACACCAGGTATCTGCAAAACACTCAGTAAGGTTCAATTTGCATGAATATCAAATCTTCAACACAGCAAAACTCCAAGGGCAAAGCAGTTAAAACCATTTCAGGACACTGTGAGTTTACCAGCTTACACTGATGATAACACAAGGTGGTTCAAGCACTTTGTGCTGGAAAAGATCAAGCATTGCCATTGCTGCAGAAATGCTGTTTTGCTGTTTCAGAATAGTCCCATTAAGACAATTACTCATTAGTCACATTAGTCAAATAAATTAGTCAAAACAATTAATAAAAGCTTTTGATTTTTCTGCTAAACATGGGAAGTGTTCTTTTTTGACCATGTCTAAAGAGCACCTGTCATTTGGCATATTGCTATAAATGGCAATAAGCCATGCCTGTGGAGATTGATTATTTGAAAGGTCTCCAGTATAGATTCAAAGCATAACAGATGAGATGCTACAACGAAAAACAATGGACTGCACTGAAACACAGTCACCCTTGGGGTGAACTGCAACGTTTTCTCCTCTGGAAGCATTATGCTATGCTGTAGAGGTTAGCATTATCTCGTTGGAGCTCTCCTAACAAATTCCTTCAAGATCATTTTCAACAGCTGGAAAATTATGTTCTGATTTACAGTGGCTAAAAATGAAGGTATTAATGTTGCCTTCAGTCTGAGTATCTGCACAGGAGATAATACACATCTTCAGCATAGTATAATATTACAAGAAACAACTGTGCCCAAAAGACAAGGTCACGTCAATTACAATCTTCACACAAAGAAAGCTGTCCAACAAGCATCAGCAGATACAAAACCTATTTAAAAAGATACTCAGATAAACTTCTAAATAACACCATCTCCTCTTCGAGACATGAGGATCTGATGACTTAGAGGCTTTAGATAAATTTTGCTTTGTTTTTGTTTTTATTTTCCCTGCCCACCACACACAGTGAGGTTTAGAGAAGTTCTGTAAGGAATATTGTTTATTAGTGTGTTGTGTTGTTGATTGCTCTGTCTTGCAGACAAAGAAACGTACGTGCATAAGAGCAATAATCTGCTCATAAATTCATGAAGAATGACTATTCCTTTTTAAACTAAGGAAACTAATAGGATAACAACTCACTGTTACTTGAAAATATTCCAGCAGCAGGAAGTTATTTACTGTGCTTGTGTTTTGCTTAGGAACACCAGGCAAATAAACCAATAGCATTACCCAATCGTGATCATTCTCTGTTGTAACACCTAAAAACAGTAGAAGAAGAGACTCACAGATTCAGAATCCATAACCACAAAGTAGTTATAAGAGCAGGTACCTTTATTTCAGCAGTGCACACACCGGGTGCAAGGGGGGATCCTTCTGCCTACCCTGCATACCAGGAAATAGAGGCATTACATATTTGTAAGCCAAGCTCATAAATATTCAATAGATTTCCTGGAATCCATCTACATATTCATTATTTTTCCAGGAATTCATTTACATAAAGTCCCTCTCCTTGGCTCATGAGTCATATGCAGTGAGGGTCCCCACTGGTGGCCTTTGGGGATGAAGTTACTTGTCTTCCTCGCTCTGGATCTTCACCTCTGGCCCAGTTTGCACAAGAAAACCAATTCTTTCTGAGGATGTGCCAACTCTTCCTCATGTTTGTTCCTCTTTCTGCTAACTATGGAGATTAGAGCTTATTTTTCCTCGCTGCCATTTGCGAAAGCGCTTCTGTGAGTCTTAAGCCGTGGGCAGAATTCAACCCACCCCCCTCCATCACAAGGCCAGAAACATTTCAACAAATCATTTGTGCACCTGGCTCATTTCAACTCATGATCACTCATTCCCACAGTGACACGTACCAAAGTACAGATTACAGCTCTCTCCCAGAAGATCTCACTTGCCACATCCTCTGCCTAAGGAGTCCCTTTTACTTGACCTACGTTTTAAAGTAATTCAAATACAAGAATGACTGAGAATTTCAAAGATCTTTTGATCATCTTGCTACTATCGACTGCAGTCTACTGAAAAAATAAAAATAAAAATCAAGATTACTAGTATAAGGCAATGACACTCTTTAACAGACATGCCTTCAAGGCACATTCAAAGGTTAGTGCTAGATGCTGAACAGAATGAAGATTAAAGAGGCATTCTCCTTCCCATAAAGAACATGTTCTTCACTTTCTTTCAATCTCCACTTTCTTTCTCTCTGCTAACATTTTACTGCAAGTTGCTAATAAGCATGTGCAGTTCATTATGTTCTTGTTATGTACAATAACTGATATTCTGCATATTTTCTTTCTGCATAACAATTTTTCACATATTGACGTCATCGGTTCAAGCAAAATATACTTCATATCCACTAACAGAAAGTAAGAATTCCAACCCATTTCCCTTCTCACAGCTGGTATTCATTGCTTGATACTACGTAATTACCAAGTTCAGGTCTACATTTGTTTCTGGATGTGATTAATTTGACCTAAAAGTAAAACTTTATTTTGCAAAAGCACTCTGTGGGATAAAAATGGTCGTTATATTGCTGATGAGTGATAAAGCTCAACAATAACTTGAGCCGGACGTAAACCCCCATATGGCACCTGGTCCTCACATGTAACCAGTCCTAGCTGCACGGGGAAAAAAGGGCTTTAAGCACCTACCATAAAAGTCTTTACTCTGCACCAGGGAAGGATTCCACACCTCTTTTGTCACACCCACAAGGGAGCTCTTGCAACAGCACTTCAATTTGTTCATGCATTCTCTCAAGCCTATAAAAAAATAAGAGTAGTATCAACATAAAAAAATATTACAATATGGACACTGAAGGGAACAGAGTGGATTCTGCTTGTTTGGGTTCAGGTATAAACTCCACAGATGTAATTCCAAGTGCTTACATTATAGCACTATTACTGCAGTAGATTTCCCTCCTTAGAAACTGAGTCAGTTTCCATTCAGCTTTACTAGGAACACTAATGCTGCAATTTCGTACCACTTTGCAGCTTTGAAGAATGACAAAGGCGAAATACAGAAGCAATTACTTCAGTTCCTATAGGACTACTAGTTTGTTGGTGTTTTGTTGTTTGGTTGTTTTTTAAATGCTTATTGTTTAAAAGTTTCAGTCTGATACATCCAGTAGTTCTCCTCAACTCTTTACACTGTCAAGGCTGACCACAAAGACACCTGACAGCTTTTTACACATGCACAATGTGGCTCGATCTAGGCACTGCTCCAAAGAAGCTACCTACTGAAGGCCCAGGCCACCTTTCCTCCACAGAAGCCATGTATTTCTCATTTCATTCTTCTCATCTATTCCTGCTACGGCAGGGAAGAGGAGCAGCTTTATTTTTTGAGGGTCCCTTCCCTTCCATCAGCTCCTAAAGTGCCATGGTGTGAGTCCTCTCCTACTTCTCCAACTACGGAAAGGCAAACTAGTGTTTCCCATCCATAAGTAGCACATAATTGGTAGTATATATTGCAAGACAGTGAAAAGCACTCAAGATAACTCATCCAAATAAAACTGACCAGCTAGACTTGAGCTATCCCGTAACACCCAGCCTGAGAGACTTAACAACCCTTCTCTCCATAAGCACTGCCTGCGGAGAACAAGCTACCTGCTACAGCCTTCCCTGCACTATTTTTCAACTATTATATGATTTAATTTGCACAGGTGATAGGTACTAAAATGCCAGTTGTGTGGAATGGCAGCTGGGTAATAAGCTTTATCTTATGAAATAAATAAACTTCAAGGGCTTCCAGCCTTTTCATCTTAAATCACAATTTACATCAAGAGCATTTTGATGAAAGACAAGAAAAGCTGGATTTGTGCTGATAGGGACAGAAGAATTCAAAAGCTCACTCGCGCTGCAGCCCATAGGGCAGTGATAACGTGAATAATCAAGACTACCAAATAATTTTCCAGCTTAAGAAAAACACATCTCTGAAGATGATTAGCAGGAAGGTCTGCTTCATCCTAATTGACCCAACAGCACAGAAAGTTTACGGTGTTAATTTGATGCAGAACTGTAACTGCATCAGTGATCTTTTAATTATTTTAAATTGCAACACTCTCAGCAACTCAGCCTTCTTCAAGGCACTTCCCACTTGCACAGGAGTATGATCTACAGAATTAATCCTTCTACTCTCTCGCAAAACTGTTACAGTTTCCAGATGACAGCTATCTTCATTTGATATAAATGAGAAAGAAACATGCTGTTTACCATGTGAAATGATCAGCCTCACAATGTCAAAACTTTTCACACTTCATTCCTTTTATTTAGCTAGTAGCATTCTCTTTTTCCTCCCCAGTAACAAGCTGCATTTCTGTGCAATGAAAATGAACCCTAAATTAAGGATGTTCTCCCTATAGTATCTATGCTGTCCTTACAAAATTCTCCATTATTTTAATCCTGCCGTGCTTGGTAGAAAGTGATTCACAGATGCTCAGCCCACTCCCTCTACAAAGACAATCATTTAAAGACCCACTGTGTTAATAGATATTAGAAAAAAGAAAAAAACACAATGTATTTTCCTCCTTTCCTATCTTTACTGCTCAGGCTATCAACATCAATTTTGGTTTTTGTGCTTTTAGTGTCTCATGCTGGTATGTTTTTAGTTTCTCATTAGCTACTTCTTAAATACACAGATGACAACCATTAAAAAACCATCATCCCAACTGTTCTACCCCCTTTCTTTCCAAACTTATTCCTTTCTAAAGATGCTACCAAAATGGGAATAAGTACTAGCCTAAACATAGATGTGTCCATGCGTAAGAAAGCATTCAAGGGAAAGATGGAAGGAAAATAATGAAGCAGAGAAGACATGCTCAGTCATTAAGGAATTTGTATACATCACTGTGACAGAAATACATGCATCTCTAACTGAAGGTACTGTGCTGAACATCATCAGCTATGCATGTGCCAAACACAGAGGTTTCTTGTGTATCCTTACAGGCTTCTTGAAGTACCCAGAAAGTTTTTTGGTTCAAATATGAGGGTTGCTCCAAAAGTAATGTTCCAATTTCATTAAGTTGGCCCACGATTTCAGGAGCAAATATTGGTGGTACAGCTGCAGAGATTGAACCTCCCCCCACAATATGCCATTGAACTTCATTGCCCTGTGACAGCTGGCAGCAGAGAGGCAATCTGACTGGATGGCACCTGACACAGAAGTGTGCACGAAGCAAAGGTGTGGAACTGAATTCCTCCACGCAGAAAAAAATGCATCCATTAACATTCATCAACATTTGCTGAACATTTCTGGGGACTAAACAGCAGATGTGAACACAGCAGTGAGGTGGTGCTGTGTTTCAGCAGTGGTGACAGCAATGTGAAAGTCAAATGGCATTCCAGAGAGCCATGCAGATTTTCAGGAGCATGGCATGCAGGCTCTTATCAAACACTGGCAAAAATGCCTAGCTATGGTGGTGCTCTTGATTTCCTCTTCCCAGTAATCACAACCCTCCACTACCACAACGCAAAGTATGGCACGTACACAACACACCACACTGGACACTCTCAGCTGGCAACAGCTCCTGGCCCAAGTGGCAGGGACCATCCAGGGACCACTGTGCGGCACAGAAGATACTGCCAACCCCACAGCTGGCAGCACACTTCCACCTCATCCTCAGCTACCCCATAAGAACAAACCCTCAGGATCACAGGATCCACAGCGGTGACCTGCTCACCTTTATTTTTTCCTTTTTCCTACTGTGCTCCTCTCTTAACAAATAAAGGCACACTCCCACTCAGTTAACACTTTTACTCCTTTCCAACTCTTAATTCAAAGGAATAAAGATCAATACAGTGAACCACAAGCTGCTTTCACTTGCAACATTGTGACTACGGTGAAAAACAGTGTTTCAAAGCTGAGAACCCATCAAATAATGTTACTGTATTCTTTTAGTGTAGCATTCATGAAAGTAATCAGGACCCAACACTTTTGGAGCCACCTGTGTGTTACAGCAACAAGCAAAGCAAGTCAGTGGAGCACAAGGTCTATAGGCTGCTCTCGTGAACAAGGACCTTCACCAATGCTTTTACTAAGAAAGCAGATCAAAGGGAAATCCAAGCAGAAATAAGGCAGCAGGAGCCCCGTGACTGGAACAGAGGTAAAGAGAGATGCTGGCACTTTACTGTTCAGTAAACAGAATAGATGGAACAATTACTGCCTTCTTCCCTGCACTTCTAGTTGCTAGCATCCAAACTGGAAATGGGCACAGATCCTCTCCGCACACTAAAACACGCTGAACTTTTTACTTTGGTAGGTAAACAGTGACAGGACAAAGGGGAATGGTTTGAAGCGCAAGGACAGCAGGTTTAGCTTGGGTGTCAGAGGAAAGTTCGTTACAGAGAGAGTGGTGAGGTGCCAGAACAGGCTGCCCACACGTGTGTTCAAGACCAGGTTGGATGGGGCCCTGGGCAGCCTGCTCTAGTACCATACCTGGAGGTTGGCAGCCCTACCTGTGGCAGGAGGGTTGGAAACTGATGATCCTTGGGGTGCCTTCCAACCCAAGCCATTCTAAGATTCTGTAATACTCACTGTTGTCACTTAATTACCATGATTGCTGTGTTGCCTAACAAGGGTTAACAAACCATTGAGGGGAAAAAAAAAAAACAAACACTAAAAATAAAATGAAAATGAAAACCAGCTGAAGACTGCTCCATTAAGAACAAAAAAGCCCAATCGAGTATCATCCAGCAATTGAAAGATAACATGGTCACGTTATCTTCATAACCCCCTGACTCAGCCACTTGGAGAGAGCTTTCCTTGTTTAACAAGGAGGCAGAGTCAAGGGTGGAAGCTCACCTGTGAACTCTGTACAGGGCAGTTCAATGCGCAAAATGTTCAGCCCTACGAATATCTGTATATTCTCAGATAACACTCATGTTCTGTTTTCCATCCTGCCTTCCGTTTTCTCCTTATGCCCTTCATTCTGTGCTACAGAAGCTCTGTAAGTGCAATTTCTACACTTCTGTTTCACTTTTCTCTTGAATAGATTCATGCCATTACCATAACTCTGACTTGTTAATTCTTAAATTATCTCCTTTTACCCTCCACTGCCTTTCTCCATTTGTTTCGAGGCTATTAAGATTTAATTTTTCTTGATTTCTGTATGGGAATTGTTGAGTTACAGCCTGAACCAATGACTGAGCACCTGGTAAAGGGACACAGCCAGCCCTGGGAGCACAGGTGAAAAGAACTGGCCTGTGCCAACAGAAAGGGTTTAACCCGGTCCCACCCCTCTCTAAGCCTCATTTAAAGCTTTAGATAACAATATTGCTATCCCTCTGTCTCATTCTCTCCAAATGAGGAACAATGGTATCTTCTCCCTCAATTACCACTTCTTCAACTGAAGCAAGCTGAACATTTGCAGAAAAACATCTATTTTCAACAAGCCTTCAGCACTACCTGGTTTTGCCCTTGTTAATTCATTACCTGAGAAGTATTTTTAATGCTCTGGTTTCACTTTTTCTGAATTTGGACAGGTTTGTAGTGCAGGTTTCACATGCTGAAGTTTTTCTAAACTATTTTCCATATTGGCTGAGTTATGCTACACCTTTTACATTTGGTATAGTTGAAATCTAATTATAGCCTGAAGGTATTTCTCTACACATGTTTTTCCTGTTCCCTTGGCAGCATCTAAAGGTGAATAAACAGCATAAGCAAAGTAATGCAAACACCTTACAGGCAAAGTAGGAGGAAAAGCCTTGCCCTACACACTTACTCCCCAGACAGATAATCACACAGAAGTAAATATGGACTCATACAAA